ACGACGGTCCGGCCTCCCCAGCATTCGTCGGCACCGACGACGTCCCGGCCTCCCCAACATTTGTCGGTGCCGTCGATTTGCGTGGTTTCGTAAATTCCCCTATGGGTGCGGGCAGAATGTCCTTGGTGAACTCGCCTACCGGGATTTGTGACAGTGCGTTGAGATGGTAAAGCAGCGGCAGGGTCGACGATGGATTACTGTGTGGAGAATAGAGCGAGAATGAATGAACTATGAGTGAAGTGAGTACAAATAGCAAAACCCTAATTGGGTTGTACCCCCTATGGTATACCCCACTGTAGCCTACACAACAGCATAAGCTACATATATGTTCTGACACACCCCCATAGGCAAAGTGGGGGAGAACAAGGGGTCACAAGACCAGTCAAGCAAAGCAAAGCAAAGCTCAGGGTGGATCACAAAGTCACCACACAGTCCGAGCACAAGAGCAAGGCCACAAGGCCAGTTCACATGCAGGAGTACACACATATATATATAAAGCTAGACAAGCAAGAGCAGGTATATATATGTGACAGTACAAGTAAAGTCAAGAGGAGAGCAAGTGAGGCAAGACAGGCACAAGACCCAGCTGGGTGCAGAAGCGCTGATGGTCACAAGGTGCGAGTGCCTTGGTGAACACATCAGCAGTGTTGGCCTCAGAGGCCACGTACGCAAGCCGCAACTGTCCACGCTGCTGTAGCTCACGAGCAAGGAAGTAGCGAAGAGCAATGTGCTTCGTTCTGTGCTCCAGACGCTGCTCTCGACACAAGGCTAGCATGGCCTTGTTGTCTACGTACAGGACTGGAGGAGAACGAGGCGGCTCTCCAAGGTCGGTCAGCACGTAGGTGAGCCAGCGAAGCTCCTGTGCAGCCATGGCCCCTGCGTAGATCTCAGCCTCACAACTCGAGCTGAGAACCGAAGACGAGCGAGTAGCCCGCCACGAGACAGAGCCGGAGCCAAGGCTGAAGGTGTAACCCTGTGACGACCGCTGCGTAGCCTGGTCGTCAGCCCAAGAAGCGTCCGCGTGACCTGTAAGTACCACTGGACTCCGCCCTCCAAGCACTAGCCCCATGCCCGACGTACTGCACAGGTAGCGCAATACCCTCATCGCTGCAGCCATGTGCTCTGGTCGGTGTCTCCCAGGAGCAACATAGCGTGCAAGAATGCTAAGAGGGTATGCAAGGTCAGGTCGTGTGCAGGTCATCAGGTACATGAGGCAGCCAACAAGCTCTGGGTACGGGCCACTCGACTCTACGGACTCATCCGAAGGCAGAGCTGAGAGCGAGTGGCGAGTAGACAGAGGAGTGGCCTGAGGCGAGGAGTACGTGAAGCCGAAGCGCTGAAGGACCTGCTGCACCATGTGTGACTGAGTCAAGGTAATGGTGCGGCGTGCTCTGTCCCGAGTGATCTGCAAGCCAAGGTAGCTGCGCAGTTCACCCAGGTCTGTGCACGTGTGTCTCTTCAGCAGCTCGGACTTCACGTAGGCGAGTCCAGCAGTGTCCGCTGTGGCAAAGACCAAGTCGTCGACGTACACGAGGATGTAGAGCGGCGGCAGTGAAGTGTCGGTGCGCAGAAACAGCGACGGGTCAGCAGTAGAAGGAGCAAACCCAAGGGCCGCAAGTGTAGTCCTCAGTGTGTCGTGCCACTCACGTGGTGCCTGGCGGAGACCGTAGACTGGCCGTCGGAGGCTCCACTGGGTGCCAGGAGGGAAAGTCCCAGTGAAGCCAGGTGGACGGCGCAGCCAGATCTCCTCGTGCAGGCTCCCCTGCAAGAACGCAGTACTGAAGTCGAGAGAGTGAAGCTCGTAGTCGCGCTGAGCGGCTATGTGCAGCAGCACCCGAAGAGTGGTCATCTTCGGGGTGGGAGAGAAGGTCTGAAAGTAGTCAACTCCCTGCCGCTGACTGAAGCCACGAGCGACGTACCGCGCCTTGAAGACAGGTGGAGAGCCCGGCGGCCGCTTCACCCTGAAGATCCACATGCCACTGACGATGTTCGCCCCAGGAGGGGGAACCGCGTCAACGTAGGTGCCTGTGGACTTCCAGGAAGCCATCTCTGCATCCATAGCTGCCTGCCACTGAGAGGAGTAGGGACCCTCTACAGCCTCCGCGTAAGAGCGCGGAGTCGGGATGTCTAGTGCATCCGGGTCTCCCTCAGGAGCAAGCAGTACAGACGCGAGATGAGGTGAAGCAGCAGCCAGACACTGGAACTCCTCCTGCCTGTCCTCTAGGACGTCCGTGCCAAGAGCACACTCACCCCCGACGGACGGAGGACATACAGACGCAGACTCAGCAACAAGACTAGCAGCGTAGTCTAGACGACAGCGAGCAGCAAAGTCGACGAGCTCAGCGACAAGAGCAGACGCAGCAGCGGACTCAAAAGAGGGGTCAGTGACGATAGTAGCAAGCAGACGCGTGACAGTAGGACTGGCAACACGAAGGGAGTCCGACTCTGGGTCGGTAAGCACATGAAGGGAGGACTCAGGAGGAGAAGGCAAAAGGGCACGCAGAGGAGCAGTGGACGGACGCTGAGACATCCGGTAGCAGCCTCACCAGTAGCTAGAGCAGCAGGTCCTATACCCGGGTCAGGCGGTACGCACAGGTGACCGGCATGGTCAGCACTAGTAGGCAATGCATACATGGCAGTGAGAATAGCATCATAGTCAAGAGCAAATATATCTACCCTCTGCCTAAGCAACTCCACCCAGTCGGGGAGCTCAGCCTCGTCGCCAAACACGGTACGCCAGGCGTCGCTCAGACGGGCGAAGCAGCGGGACTGTGTATGACTAGGTGTCCCACAAGGCTGACCAGTCCGAGCACCAGTGAGAATCACGTAAGAGCAGCGAACAGAACTACACAACAGCATAAGCTACATATATGTTCTGACATACTGGTCGTTGTACACCGCACTGGTCGGCCGTCTCCCCCATGGCTCGCAGGGGTAGGACCGTCCGTCATGTCGACGTCGGCCATGTGATTTCAGGAGTTTGATATACGGTGAACGTGGATCGCGGCGGCCCAATGGTTATCCGATGCGCTTCTCGGGCGTCACGCTCGAATTCTCTCGCAAGTGCCTATAACTCGGCGGTCTCCTAAACAAGTATCGGCGACGTCTCTTATCAGTCTCTCTGGCCACTGTGTCGACGCCGACTACGACATCTGGTCGGCGGAGCGACTGTCCTGCACGCGAGGAGTGCGAAAGGGAGTAGAAAAAAAAATCCAAGTGCCAGATAGCGGGTGGAACAAACCCGGAGTGTACGGCAGAATGAGCGATCTTCACTGGGATCCCGGATGGGTATGGTCGTGGGCGACTCCGCACCTGCCGTTCTCCACGCAACTCCCTGTGCAGGACGCCGCTATGCATGTACCCTCGTGCGGCAGCGCCGTGTCCGACGTGCCACCAGCCATGCATGGCTGGTTTCCGAAAAGCGCTTCGCCCAGGAGGCGATTTTCATGGCTGTTACACGCTGGGTCGTGCGTGCGCTACGTGGCGTGGTCCCGATTTTGGTGCACCGCTCCCGGAAAACCTTGCTGGAGACTCCCCGCGCAGTAGTTCGAGGGCGTTTGGCATTGACGCGTGGCACCCTGAAGATGCTCGTGTGGTCGACGCCGACATTCCCGGCGCCTGAAGATCCGTTGCACCTAGCCTGAGTAGGGAACGGTCGTGATGTTGCCTCGGGCATCGGGGCAACCGTCGGATGGAGGCCACGTGGTACGCGCCGACCTGGCCCTTACCCGGCGCGAATATTTCCCACGCAAAGCACCCCGTCTCAACTGGTGCCGCGTGGGCTCGTCGTGGCTGTCGTGGCAGACCTCGGTGGCCCCGCCACCTTGTGGATGATCTCGGACGTCCATTCCTGTACTTCTCGGATGCATCGAACGGGCCCTTCGGGCATGAACAGTTGAGGGCGTGATGGTGAACTTCGAGTTTCAAGATGAATCTGCATCGTTCACGCCCTTCCACTGTTCACACACCTTCCGCCGCTCGTGAGACTGCAGGGCATTCTGGTGGAAACTGCTGATAGTTTTCATCGAGTGGGTCGATTTGAGGGAGTTTGGGCTCCGGTCAAACCTCTGGTGTGGTTTTCCGAACCCAGCTTCTGGTCAGCGGTCAAGTGTGTGCCAAGCATGCATAATTGAGACCAAAAGCTTCTCATTGTCCAACTTCTGGTATCCCATCATTTCCAGAAGAGTGACCCGAGCCCATCAATATTGGACTGCTGGGGGCACGTTCTTGGATAGCCCTGAAGCTCTCGGATGTTTCACAACAACAATTCAATTTCTCTCTCTTGCTGAGAAATTTGAAGGTGAAGGTTGGTGGTGAAGGTTGGATTCCCCCGCACCGACACTCATCGCGATTCGGGAAGCTGACGGCACCGTCGTTCCCGCCAGACCCGAGCCAAGGCACTGCCTCCTGATTCCTGAACAAACACATACGGCAAACCCTTCGATGAGAGAGTTTCGCCGTGGAACTCAGCTCCCCTCTCTAGCCACTCCCGTCCGGTGTGAAATGTACACTCGAACCGTCAGCCACTGGTTGTTCCTCCCTGCATCCTGATTGGAGAGCAATTGTTTCTGGAAGTTCGCTAATGTCGCGGAGTTTTCAGGCATTGCAGCGCCAACGGGAAACTTGGAGTTACCCCACGTGGGGAAGATGACCCCTATCATGTCCCTCTCCCTTGAAACTGCATCGGGTCCATCCAGGAGTGTTGGGAACTTGGAATGCAGCAGTTGTCGTGAGAACGGCCTGCTGTGTCCAAGCCTAGTGCCGCGCTTCCCAGTAGAAAATTTCCTACTCCCCAGCTTCAGGCCGGCTACAAGGGCCATGTGTGTGCGCTACAACAGGAGCTCGTCCCTGACTTAGGGACTTCCTGAGCCGAGATCCCTCGTCCGTCGCCGCGCAGCGGCAGGAAATCCACGTGGCGTGGTTCCTCAGGACTCAGCCGACTCGGCTTAGTACTTCTAGCCCACTCAACGCTCCGTCGCAGCGGTGGCGTCAGTGCGGCGATGTTGACTGTTAGTACTAAGCTGCATCGCGGCGCGCTGATTCTCGCGTTGTGGCTGCTGGTGGTGGACGCCCAGTGGGGTGATCCCGTATATCTGGAGGAATCGCAAGGTACTAAATAGGCGCACCTGTGTGCTGGTAACCGATACTCTAGCGCCGAGCCCCGGGCTGGTACTAGTAACGGGGTCTGATTGATACGATGAGATTATTTTAGGGTCTTTCTGCCCGCAGTTGATCCGTTGCGCTCAGTTTTTTTCCGTCTTTATGAATCTCCACTGCGCAGCACAATTCTTGAAAGACTGGACATCTCAGGATTGGTCAGAGGACCCCTGCGATTTTATTTCTTTCGTCGGCTGCGACAACGACGGCATGATTTATACACTGTGAGACGACCGTCGTGACGGCATAATTCCCAAATCAAGTGGTGTTCACGGAAACGGCATGTGAATCATTACTGGCTCTCGTTTTACGTTAGAGTGAGTCGATTCATCTTCTGTGACGCTTGCCGCCGGAGAATCTCCAGATAGGACGAAATATCAAACTATCTCTACATGCCAGGTTTTAAACCATGCTCATCGCTAATTGTGAACCCATGGTGGTGGTGGTGATGACGACGGGCGTGCAGGGACTTGCGTAGCTTTCGGACGGAATCCATTCCAGGCTCAATTAGCGCGCTCCAGAAACTCCAAATCATGTAAGTCATGCGCTGCTTCGGCCAGCGCAGTGGCCCTGCCATCTGTGCGGTTCTTTTAAATCACTTCTATTTGAACTTCAAAAGGAATCCTCTCCTTTGCTCTCCCACTGTTCCCTTCCCACCAAACCAACTTTCTCTTCACTTGCATCCCTCCCTTCCCCTTCCTTTCTCGCATCTACCAGCCGAATAATCAGCTCAACCATTCCAGGCACAATTCCTTCAGAATTGGGAAGCATCACTTCTCTTATGTCTGTGTAAGCTGACACTGCCGGATTTCGACCAGTGGTTCTAGTGTCATGTTCAAGGTCATAAGCTGTTTTGTTTTTTCTTCTTCTCCTTCCTTTCGTTCGTATGTTTGTTTGCTGTTTTTGTGAGTAAGCCTGTGCTTTGTTCCAGTGAGTTGCGCATTCCCATCTTTTCCATGCGTTGTTTCACTTCCCACAGAGAGCTGAGCTATATGGAAGGCTTGTCAGGGCCCATACTGCCAGCACTCCTGAACTCGCCTAATATCAACAGGCTGTACGTAACAGTAAAACTTGCCGCACAGGAATTGTATGATTTGTACAGGACCTTACTATCGCAACTGAATCTCTTGTCCACCATCACTATGAGACAACCCACCAACGGTCTCCCCCTTCCTTCGGTTCCCTGCCATTCTGACTGCCTCCTTGTCCTCTGCCTGTCCGCTGCATTCTGCTCAACGACCCAGTCACGATGAGACTTCTCAGTTTTCATTACTTTGAGAATTCGCTCATTGGCAGTCACGCAGCAACACACACGCACACACGCACGCATACACGCACGCACGCATGCACGCATGCGCACACACTCACGCACACGCACCCCTGCGCGCGCACCGGCACGCACACGCCCGCCCGCACGCACACGCCCGCACGCATGCACGCTCACACTAACATACATATACCATTCGTCTCGTCCTCCCTCCCTGTTGCGCCCGTTTTCTTCCGCCCCTGCACCTCATCTTCTCCACCACAGGGTCATCAACAGGTGCAATCTCAATGGAACCATCCCGTCAGGCATTGGCTCCTTCGCAAGTCTCGAGTACCTGTGAGTTCAGCCTAAAACCCCGAGATCTCTAACCACACCACACCTCACTTCACCTCACCTTATCTTATTCACATTTTGGCATCATACTATGTTCAGAATATTTGTTGTCCCTCCTTCATTCCACCTGTTCCATTCTCTAGTCCACCTCTACTAGTACCCCTGACTGAACGAAACCATTTCAGTGCTGCTTCCTGTCTTACCTGATTATATGCCTGCCCACCTGCCTGCCATGACTGCCACATGGACACCACGTGTCATTCCAGCCAGCTGTCGGTGAATCAGTTCACGGGACCAATTCCTGATTCCATTGGAAACCTCCAGCAACTTCGGTACTTGTGAGTCGAGCAGAATGCCCTTCAATGAATGTTTCTCAACCTGCAATCTCCCAGCAACTTTCCAGCCCTGTGCTTCGTGCAGCAGTGTGGCTTGTTTGGTGTCTGGGAATATAATATTTATTTCCGTAATTATTCGGGCGTTAATTGTCGCAAGCTCTATCTTCTCCCCTTCACAAACCTGGAGCATAAACGCGCGGGAAGGGAACCCATTAACCAACCCAACCCATGAACCCACCAACCAATCTAACCACCCTGCAGGGACCTGTCATACAACCAGCTCTCGGGACCCATCCCATCAACAATCAGCAACCTGGGGGGACTAAGACAACTGTATGACAATCCGCCCTGGTCAATGCCACCCACTGCCTCATGCTTGTTTGTTTGTATGCATCTGCTACACACGGATAGAAGCAGCGTTTTCAAAGTGCCCCACAGAAACTCCCCGCCCCGCCCCTCTCTCTTTTGCCCCTCACTCCCCATCCCCCTCTTCGCCTTCATCCCAAGGCTGCTCCGCAGGTTCCACTTGGTCACCGCCCTGCTCCTCCCTCTCACGCTGCCACTCCCTGCCACTTCGGCTCTTCTTCTCTGCGCAGTTTCTCCAAAGTTCCAGCCAACAACCCTAGCCAGTAGCACCCCAACCTCACTGCCCAGCTCACCCTCTACACTCCCATCTTTTCAACTATCGCCCACCTTCCCATGCCACAGGAATCTCCATTCCAACTATCTGACAGACTCCATCCCTTCAATTGGCTCAATGACGGATATGACCTACCTGTCAGTACCCGCCACGCCATGCCCACCTCCCCTGCTTCTGCCATCGCCACTGCACTGCGTGCCTTGCGATGCCAGCCTGCTGACACCAAAGTATTCCAGCTGCTGCTCTTGCCGTTGTTACATCTGCTCTTCGTGCCCTTGCTGCTGCTGCTGCTGCTGCTGCTGCTGCTGCTGCTGCTGCTGCTGCTGCTGCTGCTGCTGCTGCTGCTGCTGCTGCTGCTGCTGCTGCTGCTGTTGCTGCTGCTGCTCCTCCTCCTGCTCCTTCTCCTCCTCCTCCTCCTCCTCCTCCTCCTCCTCCTCCTCCTCCTCCTCCTCCTCCTCCTCCTCCTCCTCCTCCTCCTCCTCCTCCTCCTCCTCCTCCTCCTCCTCCTCCTCCTCCTCCTCCTCCTCCTCCCCGTGTTGCTGCTCTGCTGCCGCTGCTGCTGTTGCTACCACCACACCCACCTCCCAATCTGCACTCTTCCCTTCAGCAACACCTTTGCACATGCAGAAACATATCCCCCACTTCTCATCCTTCCCACGTGTCTCATTCTCCTCCACTGCACCTCTTCTCTCCCCCAGGGACCTAGGCCACAACCGTCTGTCAGGAGGCATCCCAGACCTGAGTGCCATGACCAACCTCCAAAGCCTGTCAGCCATTCTTGCCATAAACATGACAGTTGTTCCTCAATGCTTCTCTCCCCCGCCTTCTCACCCACTCTCTTCCTTTCCTCTCACGCTCTTACTCTCGCGTTTCCTCGCCCTCTCCTCCCTCAGGCACCGCCCTTGGACCCTTGTGCTGCTCGCAAGCTACTGAAGCAAAAAAATTGCAGCATCTAAACCTCGAGAAATTAGCCAGATTATCGGACAAAAGAACGGCTTGTTGAGCAAGTCTCCATCGGCTTGCAACACCAGCTTTCTCCCTCTCCTCCTTCCCTCCCTGCCCTCTTCCATGATCCTTCCGAGAAGATTCATTCTGCAACCTTGCAGCAGAATATTGCCGGGTCCCTTGCATGGCGTGACCCGCTAACTGATCGATATTTACCTATGCTTCTCCTTCTCTCCATGTGGCAGGGACCTAAGTCAGAACGAGCTGAGTGGAAGCATCCCAGCTTACCTCTTCTCGTTTGAGAATCTCGAGCAACTGTGAGCGAGAGGCCATGCTTGGGGAAAGGGGCTGTAAGTAAGGAGAAAGGCTCTTCATTGCCTTTGTGGCCCTTCCCATCTTGCTTGTTTCGTTCGATTGAGCACAGGGGTGTAACGAGCATGAAGGCATGATCACTAGTGCGAAAAGATAACAGCGACCCGTTCATTCAACTGATCAACGTTCATCTGTTGTTGTTTACGGCAGGCAGTATTGTTGTGGTGTTGTGTCTTGTGTCTATGCACCTCTCACTTGTGCAGACTGCTTAATATGAACCAGTTCACGGGATCCATCCCCGCAACGATCGACAGCCTTACCAACCTCAGACGCCTGTGAGTGGCAACAAGTTAGCTCAATTCCCCCACATATGGCGTCTATATGTGGCTCTGTGTAACTGTAACATTACACATGTCAATTCCAGATCGTACAACTTTACCCCTGTGGCACCAGTGATAACACCATTAAACAGCAATCATGGCCCCTCTCTCAATCCGCAACCCCCTCTCTCCTCTCTTGTCTGCATTCGCTCACTCCTCATGGCCATAGGTCTCTCGCTTTCAACCAGCTGTATGGAACCATACCGGCCACAACCACCAGCCATGATTTTCTGGTGTCATTGTAAGCTGCATCAACTTGCGGGCGGGCTAGCTAGCCCTCGCACTTGTTTTCGTCCGTGCATTCAGTTGTCCGTTCCTTTGTTCGCGATCCGTTGCATTGCGCATTGGTTCCACGTGTGGCTCCCGCACTCGAAATTGGCACACTCGCTATCCTATCTCGCAGTTTTCGGCCCATGCAGTTGCGGTTTCTCTTGGGAACTCTTCTCTTGATATTCACCTACCGAGCGTAAAAGACGCTAATGTCCAGTTTCAACCCTGGGAAATGTCCTCACCTGTCCTCGTCCCTTCTCTTCCACAACCACCCCCCCCCCCACGTCTCACTCCCCCTGCACGTCTCCCTCCGCCCTCCGTTCCCCAGCGACCTCTCCCACAACTTCCTCACAGGCTCCATCGTGAAGCCCGATACCGGCACCGCTGACCTATCTAACAACTACCTCTCGGGCACACTGACTGGGGAGCCGACTGATGTCTCTGTGGCCGCCAACTGCTTCACGTTGCCTGACGGGGCTACCTGGTCGCCGCAGCGGCCTGAATCAGCATGCCAAGCGTTTTGCGGCATCTCCAAGTTGGATTCCAGTGCTGGTGGTGGTGCTGGTGGTGTTGCCTGTGGCGGCCATGGGCTGTGCTATCCGGACGGACCTAGCTTGGCGCCGACTTGCTCGTGTGACGAGGGGTTCGTTCAGTTTGGAAAGATCTACTGCCTTGTTGAAGGTAAGAGGTTCAAGAGTTTACCAAGAAAGACGCGTAGCTACGGCACGCTACAGACAGCCCAGCATACTCACAGGAGAGCGTAGCACCGCGCAGCACCACACAGCACAGCAGACATCACAGCACATCGCATCACACCACAGCACAACACAGCACAGCAGAAGAGCCTTGGGTAGGCCCTAGTGCTGCACAGACATGTTTGCCCCGATCTGAATCTTGACCTCCGATACCCAGCCAACCAACCAGCACCTTGCACAGATGTGCACATTCTCGATAGTCTTAAGCCCTCAAGCCCTGAATCCACCTTCGTTCCTCCCCGTCCTTGTTCTTTCCCACCCATCTCATGTGTCCTCATGTGTCCAGGCTCGGTTCTCGCCTCCCCAGTCGACAAGGAGATTCTCCCCTCAGCAACTGTGCTCACCACGGGGACGAAGAAGGAAGCCAGAGGGGTGTTCATGGAACAGCCACTGACCCTCTTTGTGTACGACCAAGGCCGGGAGGACCCCGGGTGCGGGTTCGAGCTGGGCTTTAACGTCAACTTCACCTTCTCCCTCTCGCCCAAAGGCAAGGCCGTTTCGAACGGGTTTGCGTTTGTGGTGTCGGCAACAAGCACGGTGGGTAGCAGCGATGGAGTGGGGTACGGCGGGATGGACCCTCGCAGCATGGCGATCGAGTTTGACGTGCTTCAGAACATTCAGCATCTCGACATGAAAGAGCAGCACGTGGGGTTGAACACCTACGGGCAGGACATATCAATCGCGGCTGTGAAGTCCCCATTCCCGCTGGCCAACAAGCAGGCATACACGGCATGGGTGGACTACCAGCCTGGCGATCCCGGCACCATCCAGGTCTTCCTGGCCAAGGAGACAGTAGTGACGAGAGCAGGGAAGAGGGCAGGGAAGAGGATAGTGAAGCGGGTAGTGAAGAGGGCACAGAAGCCGATCAGGCCGCTGCTGGAGAGGCGCCTGTCGCTGTGTGAGGTGCTGCAGCCGGGGCCACCGCAAGAGGAGCCGCAGGCGGAGGATGATGAGCCGCAGGCGCAGCAGGCGTTCTACTTTGGATTTGTGGCGTCCACCACTGTGCAGCCGTTCATGAGCCATGCCATTGTCAACTCGTTCGTGCACGCTGGTGAGATGTTTGGCCGCATGGCGATTTGTGATTGGATGGCGATGATGGTTAACTGGGGAGGGTGAGTGGATGGCAAGGGTGGGTGGATGGCAGGGGTGGGTGGGTGAGGACAGTAACTGGAAGGTGCACTGGGATGGGATGTTTCTTTATGTTGTTTGTTGGGGATTCCAGCAGAGACACCGCAATGACAATTTTGGGACATTCGATTGTCGGATCAAGGATGGGTTCTTGGATCATGGTGTGGACGATGAAGGTGATGCTAATGCTGATGTTGCTGCTGCTGCTGCTGCTGCTGCTGCTGCTGCTGCTGCTGCTGCTGCTGCTCATGCTAATGCTGGCTACGTTATCCTGCCATTTGTATCATGGTGGAGATCAGGCAGGTCTATTTATTCCTAGCTCTTGATACACGCAGCCGCTAGTTACCGTTATGAATCCCCTCAGCCCCTTACGACTCCACTGCACCTGCAAGCCCTGTTCACACTGCCATCCCAGTATTCCCCTTCCAGTGTTGGATCAGTAGGGCGACTGGAAGCGTAGGCACCTGGCCTGGGCAGCGTTGTCGCTTGTAATTTCCATGCCCAGAACCTATATCTATACTCCCTTTTTCTCTTCTGTCTCAACTTCTGTCTCTTGCACGTGTCTCCTCTTTACAGACCTGCCTCCTCCTCCCGCCTCAGTCGACGTTCCTTCAGGCAAGTACACTCAACTTAAGTTCAGTCGGGCCAAGTTGTCTGCTGGATTTGAGATTGAGTTGAGGCTGGGTGAGTTGAAGCAGTGTGCATCCTGGTTTCATTGAGGAATCATGGAATCATGTTGAAAATGGTGAGGAGGGGATATGTTTCTTGAGTCGTCTCAAAAGTCAACTCATGAGTCGACTCAAAAGTTGAAGCAGTGTGCATCCTGGTTTCATCGAGGAAGCATGGAATCACGTTGAAAAGCTGAGGAGGGGATATGCTTTTCCTCCCTCCTCCACCTCCTCCTCCTCCTCTCTTTCAGTTCCGTACATGTCTCATAACAGTATCAATGTGTCATGGCATGCCCCTCAACGCAACATACAGCTTTTGGCATAACACTACGATTGCGTGATTAGTGTTGCTTAAACGATGAGAAGCCTCTGATTTGCGGGGTAGCACCCTGCCTGCTTGCCCTGCCTCGTTTGCCTGTCAGCTGGTAGCGCTCCCTCTCTGCCTCTCCCTGTTGCTCCTCTTCACCTCCTGCCGAGCACTCTCTAACCGCCTTCCTGGTCTTTCCTCAACACATTGAAGCATCTCCCAATCTGCTCACTCCTGCCACTTCACTGCCCCTTTTCCTCCCCCCTTTCGCTGCCGCCCCCTCTCGTTCAATACTCCTTCCAACACTTGCTCCCTCTCAACATACAGCTCTTGGCCTGAGTCTCACGGTGAGCACGTATGCACCGGCGTGGGCGAGCCCGTTCCCGCGCTATGTGAGTGCAGACTACCGAGTGGCGGCAGGGAAGCAGGACTCGTGGGTCTTCAGGGACCTCCACTCCTGGGACTCCGTGCCCTTCCTCGGCTGGCCCGTCAAGAACCAGGCTGATTGCAGTGAGTGCCACCGGGGGGACCTAGTTTAAAACAGGAGGGGTGCTGGTCAAGGCGGGAGGGATGAGGACAAGAACCAGGCCGACTGCAGTGAGTGTTATGGGGGGCCTTAGTTGAAAGAAGAGGGATGAGGTAATTCTTATCTCTGCTGCTCTGTGCCTGCCTTGCCGTGATTTGATTCCACGAATCAAGCAAAAAAGGAGCACTATCGTAACCGGTTATCCTGTCGACCGTAACGGGGGGTAGGAAATCTATCTTTGATTGAAGTTTTGAGGTTGGGACTGAAGTTAAAGCAGGGTCATGCCTAGCAGCTTCAACTCAACCCCTTCGTTCGCATTGCTTCCGATGCACTCCTTCAATGCATGCTGGTCGCATTCTTTCAAATACTCCTTGTGAACTGAGGACCCCCAATCCGCATTTTTTTCTCTTGCTCTCTTTCCTTCAGAGGCGTGCTGGGCGTATGCGGTGGTGGCGAGCATAGAAGCAGCATACGGCATCGCAACGAATCAAGAGGCGCCGCAGCTGTCAGTGGAGTCGCTCTTTGCAGCCATGGGAGTCAGCAAAGGGGACAAGTGCACTGCTGGGGGCTCCCCAACAGACGCCTTTGAGAAACTTCTTACTCTGCCAAAAGGAGGACTCACCTTGGACGGCAATCCGGTACACACAACAACGTGTGGTAGCAATGGAGTATTGTCGCAGTTAAGTGTGACGGATTAGTGTCGCAAGTGTGGAAACAGGTAGCGTTGTTACACAATGTGCACTCGTGGTCTGTCATCTGCTTCTTCCCACGCATTCTGCATGGTTTTAAGCGTCACATTAAAAAAGCACCCTATTATGATATTTGAGTGGTTTTTTTGTCATTTATGGCATGCGTAATCCCCAATGCCACACACATCTGTGAATCGCAGGGGAAAAAGTATCCTATTCAGGGATTCGAGCGCGCATCGTTCAAGGGGTATGTGGGGCTCATGCTGGCAGTGCAGCGGCAGCCAGTGGTGGTTCACATCGAAGCCTCCGCTGACACGTTCGCTTCGTATGACGGGGTATGGTTGACCACTGTTGGGCATATTTGTCGAGTGTTTTGAGAATCTGTTCTGTTGTGCACATTCTTTCTTCGGTACACAACACAAGGTGTTTGTTGGAAGTTGTGTGTTGACTGCGACTTCGTTCTGTTCTGGTTGGCCATGTTCGCTCAGTACAATACGGTGAGTGCCCATTGTCGTGACAGCATTTTGTCCTGCATTGCTTGAGAGCCGTGGCAGCATTTTTGCTGAGATTTCTTGCATTTCTCGCACTTCTTGCGTTTCTTGCACTTTCTCTTCTCTTCCCCCTTCTCTCTCTCTCTCGCTCTCTCTCTCTCTCTCTCTCTCTCTCTCTCTCTCTCTCTCTCTCACACACACATCCCTTTGCCAGACGTTCAAGTACCAGGACCCTGCGTGCTACAGCGGCAACCTGAACCACGTGGTGCTGCTGGTGGGATATTTCATTCTCCGAGATGACGGCAGTCAGAGCCGCATTGCGCCGCCGTTTTGGATCATCCGCAACTCGTGGGGCGAGGGCTGGGGAGACAGGGGCCACATGCGCATGGACATTCAGGGAGGGGATGGCGTGTGTGGCATCAACGTGCTGCCTGGCATCTACCCCATTGTCAAAAGTGAGGCCCATCCACTTATTTCTCCACTTCTCACTTCTTGTGAACGACTATAAGCCGCCCTTCACTCAGGAAAAGCCAGAGTTTTCACTTGTTGTGTAAGTTCGCCCAGTTCATTCTTGTTTTTCCCCCGTTTTTCCTCCACCCTCTTTATCCCCTTGCAGTCCCGGGGGACCCATGCGGCAGCAAGAGCTACAAGGGAGATGGTGACCTGCAGCCCAGCATGAACCCGTGCGGACGCTTCACATGCACGGCCATTGCACAGACGGACACCAGCATGTGCACCTGCTCCCTCGCCTCTCAGCCCAAGCAGCCCTTTGTCCCAGTCCTTAGCAACTATGGCGCCCAGACATGCGCCTATGGTGAGTGAGAATCGCGCGTTTTCTACGTGCTTGGTAAAGTTACGCCTGGAATTGGACTTGTGCGGTTTGTACTTGAGGTATTTCTTCCCCACTACCATCCCCTCCCTCATTCCCCACTACCATCCCCTCCACTCGGCATGGCAGTGGACGTGTGTGGGTCATATACTTGAAGCATCCTTGAGCCTTCAGCCCATCCCTCATTCCCCTGTTCCACCTTGCTTGCCCTGTCTGGCAGTGGACGTGTGTGGGTCGTACTTCAAGAACCCCTGTGCCGTGGGCACATGCATCAACGATGGCAAGGGCGCCTACTCCTGCATCTGCCCTCCCAACCACGTCCCCAGCCGAACCATCGATGACTTCCCCACCTGCGACCCAGGTACGGGCAAACACCGCTCCTTCCCCACCTATGACCCAGGTGCGGCCTAAATGCTGCTCCCTCCCCTCCTGCCACCCAGGTGCGATCAACTGCTGCTCCCTCCCCGCCTGCCACCCAGTTGCGTGCACAAGGCATCTGGCCTCTTGATGTTTTCCACCATTGTTTGCCCCTTAACGTTCCCCGTTGCTTATCCAGCCACTTCTGAACCATGTTGTCTGCTGCTTCGGCAGGGCATAAGATTTCCGATTTCCGTAACGATCTCGCCTCTCTTCCCCCCTGTGTGCGACGCTGCTTGACCTGCCTGCAGTTAATGCCAGCGCCACCACCATGACGGTCGACGGAGACAACTGGTCGTGCAGCAATGTGCATCCTGTGCTAGGCGTCACACTTGCGCAGTTCAAGAGCAGCAACACAGTAAGCAGAGGGGGGCGAGCAGGTGATTTTTGAGGCGCCTCAGTAATGCATCCTGTGCTGGGCGTCACACTTGCGCAGTTCAAGGACAGCAACACAGTAAGCCGTGGGGGGAAGTAGGCGTGGGACGCAGCAAGGCAAGGGTGGGCGGCCGGGCAGAGGCGCTAAGGTTTGGGAGGAGCAGGAGGGGTGGATAGAGTTGGGATGGATGCAGTCAGGTGCATGGAGGTAATGTAAGAACCGATGGATTGTATGAGAGATAGGCGAGCCAGTGTACATAGTTGGATGAGAAAAGTGGGGGGTTGCTTGGGACCTTGCCAGCATTATTGGGCCCCACCAGTAAGTTGGGTTGGAGTGGAGGATAATTTGGAAGTCCCAGTAATCTCGGTCAAAGGTGAGTCACTATTATTAGGGGTCCACTAATCTCTGACCCAACCTTGGGGGGCAGTTATAGGACCAAGGTTTGAACTTTGAATTCCTACCTCAAGTAATGGCGATCCTTTGTTTTGCACCCAAACTGAGTTCGGGTGGCTAAGTCTTCTCAAGGTATCTAGTAAGACAATTGACTGCTAATGGGTGTAAAGTACGGGTTAGGGATGGCATGTTGCAATAGCAGTACTGCAGGAGCGATGGGTTTACATATGGGCTTGTTTGTCTTCCCCTTAGCATGGGAGCCGCCTTGGCAATGTGTGAATCAAAGCTTGTCACGATTGTTCTCCCATGCTTATCCACCTCAATGCAGGATATAAACTGCAGCCAACCTTTGCCTAGAGGAACGGTGCTTCAAATCGCAGGCATTCCCTCCATCCCCTGCACTGCCTTCTTCTACACCCTCAATGTGAGCTCCAAGATACCAAGGTAGTGCTGTGCCTAATGTCTGAACTCCTCCCATACTGTTTCTCTGCCCTTTTTCCCAACTTTCAACAACTGCCTAAGTCATGAAGCTTTGCCTGCAGCGCAATGCACCAGCAGCATGACCTTGTTGGTGTTTCTGCCACATCCGCATCAAGCCTAATCATGATTATTTCTATTCCCATCCTCTCTCCCATGCGCTTCCATCCTCTCCTATCCTCTCCCATCCTCTCTCAACCCCTCGCATCCCCTCTCTGCCTCTCTCTCCCCACCAGGGCGACACGTGTCAGTCCATTGCCACCTCCATTGGTCGCACAAAAAACGACCTCATGACTCTCAACCCGGGCCTCTCCTGCACTCAAACCATCAAACCCGGCCGCTCCCTCTGTGTGGAGCGCAACGCCACATACGCCTACACGGCCCCCAAGTGTGTCAAGTACGCCACACTCACAGCACAGGACACCTGTGAGAGCCTGCTGATGGGGTCGAAAAACCTCAAGATTGAGCCCCACTTCTGGGCTGAGCTCTACCGCAACAACCCCGGCCTCGTCTGCTCCAACACCGTCCCTGGCTCTGCCTCTGCTGTTGGCAGCAACATTGGCGTGCAGGTGAGAGGCGGGAGGTGAGGGAAAGGGATGTGGGGGTGACAGGTGGAGGGGAGGGAAGTTGGGAGGCCATAATTGCAGTTGTCAATATCTGCTTTGCCGGGCTTCCTTCCTCCCAAGAACCTTGTCTCCCTTGCTACCCCATCTTGCTACCCCAGGTGTGCCTCAGGGCGGAGTACTGGTCGTTTGAGCTTGGAAGGTGCGAGAAGGGCCGGGAAAAGACTGTGTCGCCATCGCTCACATGTTCCGGTTCTTACAGATTTTATAACCGCAATATGACCATTGCAGCGAAGGACTTCTATACATATAACAAACAGTACTGTGCCAAAAATGTTGGAGCCAATTACATCTGTGTGCCAAGATGAAGGGGTGTACTGAGTATAATATAAATCATAGAAATATGCTCAACATATACCGCTTTTACCATACACTGTAGTACCATATGTGTACCATATGTGTACCATATATCACCTGTATAAAAACTATTTACGGTATTGCTGCCTAGTCGAGGCCTCAATTAAGGTCTACAAAAACATCCTGCAAGTTATAAGGTAAAACTTTGTAAATTGCATATGCGAGTGTTTTCAAGCTTAGACGTGTTTTTTATCAATTGATAGAGTTTTACCCCAAAATAAGGGCGCAGTGGACCTAACCACGTGCTTATCAACGGACCACGGTAAAACGCTTTTATATTAAAATGTTTCTGCCGGCAATGTGATGCTTCAAACCTCCCAACTCTAAATGGAAACGTGAATACCTAGTTATGAAAGAGAGTTCAGCTACATTTACTAGTGTGTGCAATTGATGTGTACAGTGTGATGTTTCGGAGTCCGCCATGGGGAGGATATCATTTGTGTGTCACAAAAAAAAACGGCTGTGGTTGTTTTTGAGAGATTCAGCCAATCACAAAACCTGGCTCCTTCCACGTGGCTAGGCTCCAACATAGTAAAGGTTACCACGTGGTTTTTCAAGTGCCAGCGTGCCACTTTGGCAGGTGGCGGGGACCACATTTCCAGGGCAGGCCAGCTGGGCAGAGCTCCTTTACCGAAATCTTTGCGTTTTTTCTTGTCTGAAAGGTATTAAACTAGCGGTCAGGGTTTGAAGTGCGATACCATTGACCGTGTCCGGAAACGGCACGCACGTCCGGAAACGGCACGCACTGCCTTCATCTCATACCCTAGCTATTCCTAACCAGGTCTTTGATTTGGAGGTGGCACTAATTTTCAAGAAATAGTACCGAGCATATGAAGTCTCTGCGGCAGAATTAATTCCCGATCTTGGATTAGAGGTGGAACGATGTAACATGAGAGGAACGACAATGCTCAGTGGATGCGAACGGAAGACTTGTTCAGAGCTACCCATACCAATTGGTCATTGCGGTTATGAGCGGGCAACCTTGACGTCTCGAAATATGGAGGTGGAAGGGTGGTTGTCCGCAGGTAAAACCCGTCCCCAAAACACCCATCCACAAAAAAGGTTCCCTCCCTCCTCTCGATTTTTCGGGGCCAAACTCCATTCGTGTACTGTACACGAGCCAGAGCAAGAACCTGCTGAATGAAAAAAGCGGTGATGTGGGGAAACGTTCCGCAACATTTCCCTACTGACGTCGCCCTTATCCAACCACAGGCAAAGCGGTCGACGAACGAATCCGATCAAAGCCTCCATGCCTGCTGTCGTGCACATGATCCCTCCAACCATCCTCCAATTTGGTGGGACTTGTTTGTGTACTTGTCCAAGCCTATCCTGGTCAGGCCATGTGATAGGAAACCTAAGCTATGCTTTCCAGCACGACCTAGTCCTTCTCGCCTTGTTCTAGTAGCAGAAATGCACTCTTTGCTTCATGCAGCCATTTTTATTTCAGGACGTGCGTGCCGTTTCTCCTGCCTTTCTCCCAAGACTCGCGTCGCGCGGCGTCACCAACGTCCCCTCACCATCTATCTGCGAGCACCCTCTCCCGCACCCGTGTAGCCTTTACCTCGTTCTTACAAGTTTCCCCTCTTTCTCTATGCGTCTCTCGTCCTCGCCGTTTCGAATCCAATATCCGTCCCGTCCAATCGTGTGCTACCGTCTACCATGGTCAGTCTATTCCGCGCCACCTCGTCCCCTGCCACCGCCACCACGACCGCCTTTAATGAGAAAACCCACAGCGCGCAATGCTGCTTAGCCGCTGCCGCCGTATCTGACGCCGCGTATCGCGGTCCGAAATGTCCGGCCTGCGCTGCCCAGTGCAACGTTTCGCGACTTTCCGACAATTGCTGGAGCGGAGGCGGAGGTGGTGGCGGAGGCGGAGACGACGGCGGGGCGCGCGTGGGGGGAGCAGAAAGCCGCGAGTTTTGGGGAGCACCGCCGTGGTTCACACCCGCAGAAGGCATCGGGGTTAATGCCGCTTCCACCGCCAAGATCGGTAGTACCAAGGTCGTGCCGACTACCACCGGCGACGGCTTCGGCGGAAGCGGTAATGACGGCGGTGCAACGGGAATCGTTCACGCCGCGCCTTCGCGTCAGTTCCATTCGGCTTGGTTTTCAGATCGCGTTGACTGTGTTCCTGCTAGCGGTAATGCGGGTGGCGCCGCGGATGGCAACGCGCGCAACGCCGTCAGCCCTTCCGCCGTTTCCCGCGCCAAAGCGCCTCTCCTGCCGTCCGCGCTTGGCGTCTTGCGCTCCCTGCGCGGCGGGACGTCCTCCGCTTTCCGAGCGGAGGGCAGCAATAAGGGGAACAAGGAGGGGAGTTTCAGGGGGAACAAGGAGGGCAGCAATAGGGGGAACAAGGAGGGGAGCAGTAGAGGGAACAACGAGGGAAGTTTCAGGGGGAACAAGGAGGGGAGTTTTAGGGGTAACAAAGAGGGGAGTTTCAGGGGGAACAAGGAGGAAGGCAGCAACAGGGGCGGTAGGGAATGCAGCAATAGGGGCGGTCATAAGGACGGCACTAATAGAGCAACACTGGGGACGGTGGTTCTCGGGCTAGTGGGGTTTGGAAGCCCAGCGGCAGGGGCGGCGGCGAGTGTGGGAAGGTTTGCGGGATCTGAGTGTGCTGAGATGTCTGCGGATTTTCACAATACACGCGGCGGCGGCGGCGGCGGCGGCGGCGGCGGAGGAGGAGGTGGAGGAGAAGAGGAAGGAGCACAAGGAAGAGTATTTAGAGGAGCCGGAGGAGGAGGAGGAGGAGGTTTGGGAGGATGCGAGGAGGGGGAGATGGGGATGGGGATGGACGAGCGGTGTCCGCGGGAGGCGGCGTGCAGGGCGGTGGTGCGGCGGTTGCTGCGCGACGGCGTGCCGGTGGATTCAGCGCTGGCGCGCGCGCTCTCGCTGCACTTCCACGCGCTCCCGCCCACGTGTGCTTCCCCTCCTTAACCTCACCAGCCTCCGCAACCCTTAACAGCGACGAGTCCGTCCGTGCGTCCGTCCGTGCGTCCGTCCGTCCGTCCGTCCGTCCGTCCGTCCGTCCATTTGCCGTCAGATTTTAGCGAGTTTCTGGACTGGTTACATTCCTTCCTCCAATCTCACTCTTTCCCTTTGTTCATTCCGCTTCTTGTTCCCCCCTTCCGCCCCCTCTCTGCTCCCAACCGGCAGTTATTCTGACAGTCTGCCCTCCCCGCACGCGGCACTAGCGCACGTCCGCTTGCTGCGCCAGGCCGCCGCTCTTCCGCTTGGCGCACCTGCGGTCGACATTTCTCTCCGCCACTGTGCGTGTGTCTCCGCTCCCGTCTCCGCGGCCGCCTCCGCTTACCCGGAAGGTTCCGCGGACGCTGCGCGCAACTGCGCGCTTAGACCCGTTACAGGCGGCGCAGCCGCATGCGCGGGGGAAGACGGCTCCGCGTGTGCTATGGTGGCGGAAATAGATAATTACCGCCGAGAGCCATGGGGGGAAGGGATTCCCGCAACTCCGCCATTGCCTCTCCATCATGGCGCACCCGCTTCTGCCGCCGCTTCCGCTTCCGCACCGGCTTCCGCTTCCGCACCCGCTTCCGCTTCCGCGTCCGCATCCGCGTCCGCATCTCCCATGCTCCTAGACACTACCGGGCCCCACAGCGCACCCGCGCTCCCGGCGGCGACGGCAGCGGCGGTGGTTTCAGCTGCAAGAGGGGATAGCGACGCCGCCGTAGCAGAAGCGGCAGCAGCAGCAGCGCGGGGGTCAGCAGCGTCGGTATCAGCGTCTGCGGCGGAAAGAGAAACGGCTTCCGCGGGAGGCAGCGCAGGGATGGAACCAGCGGCAGCGGGAGCCCTGGGCGCAGAGGGCGCAGCGGGCGCAGCCGGCGCAGGGGAAACGGCGGGAGCAGCGGGGGCGAGCGTGTTAGGTGCGCACGTGGCGATACATATGCCGATGCGCGCGCTGATGCTGGACGACGCGGGCAGCGACTCTTCCTTCACCTCCGCCGCCACCACCGCGTCTGGCGCTACCTTCTCCACGTGCTCGGGCGCGGGCGGCGGCGGCGCAGGGGGAGCTCCGGGCGCAGCGGGCGCAGGGGGAGCGGGAGCAGGGGGAGCGTTGAGCGGTGCAGGGAGTGGTGGTGGTGCGGGTACTTGGAGAAGCGCGGAGGATGTGCTGGTGGGGGGCACTGGCGCTATGAGCCTCCTAGGGAGTTCGGGCGCACTGCCGCCGTCGCAGTATGGTCTGAACCAGCACGCGCATCCCCTTCAGCAGCAACACGACCAGCAGCACCACCAGCAGAAGCACCAGCACCAGCACCAGCACCAGCAGCAGCAGCAGCAGCAGCAGCAGCAGCAGCAGCAGCAGCAGCAGCAGCAGCAGCAGCAGCAGCAGCAGCAGCAGCAGCAGCAGCAGCAGCAGCAGCAGCAGCAGCAGCAGCAGCAGCAGCAGCAGCAGCAGCAGCAGCAGCAGCAACTGCAGCAGCAGCAGCAACAGCAGCAGCAGCAGCAGCAGCAGCATGTGTGCGTGGAGGTAACCTGGGCGTGTAACATCCACCTGTGCAGGCATCTGCTGCTATCAGCCTTCTCCCAGGCCGGCATGCGGCCGGCTTCGCTTGTCCTCTTCCACCCTGTCATGCCACCCTCTCCCCAAGTAGGCTTGGGGAGCGGCGCTCACCCCGCCGTCTCCCCTTCCACGCGCGCGTGTGCTGTTCCGCCGACGCAGCTTGCGCCCTCCCCTTTATCTGCCCCCGCGTTCCCCTCTGCGCTTTCCCTTTCCGCGCCCTCTGCTTGCCCCCCTGTTGGGGTGGGTACTCTCGTTCCTCCCTATGACACGGCCACACTGGGATGGATGCAGCTTCAGCTACCAAGGCACGAGCTCGTGGATGAGAGGCGGATAAGAGACACACTTAGCAAAGTGGGAGCTGCTGCTGCCACCGCTGCCGCCGCCTCTGCTGGTAATTCTGGCGGAACCGGAAAAGGAGGTGCAGTAACAGCCGCAGCAGCAGCTTTTTTCAGTGGGGCAGCAGGGGGAGGAGCAGTGGCAGGAGGGGCGGAGCGTTTCGACGGTTCACAATCAGGGGATGTGCGGATGGGGGAAGTGCAAGGGGCGGAGCGCAGGGGCAACCGCGGGAGGTGGGGGAGGAGAGCGGGGGGAGGGGGAGGTGGGGGGAGCGTTGGCGGGGGGAGTAGCGTTGGCGTTGGTGGGGCTAGTGCTGGTAGCGGTGTTAGCAGTGCGAGTGGTGTAAGCGGTGCAAGTGGTGCAAGTGGTCTCAGTAGCGTGCCTGGGTCCCTGTCTTCGCTTTGGAAACGGGCTGATCTGGGGGGTAATGGGGATAGCACCCATGGGGGTGGCAAGGGCAGGCGAGGCGGGCGAGGAGTGCGGCAGAAGCGGGAGCGGGATGAGAGGGAGAGAGAGGAGCGGGAAAGGGAGAGGGAGAAGAGGGGGTTCCGGTGGGAGAGGGACGAGAGTGGGTGTGAGGAGAGGGAGAGGGAGATGGAAAGGGAGAAGGAGAAGGAGAAGGAGAAGGAGAAGTGGGGGTTTCGGTACTCAGGAAGAAAGGCAGGGGCAATGATAGACTCGTTGCTGCTGGGACTGTCCAGCAGAAAGGCCCCTCCGCATGGTGAAGCCTCCACGTCCTCCTCTGCTTCGGCTGCTGCTACTGCCGGTGCTGTTGCGGCCGCGGCTGTGTCCCTCTCGCCTCTGACTCTCTCCTCCCCTGCTGCTAGTCCTGGGCCTTCTTATGCGGCCGCCTCCCCCCCGACCGCGTCTGCTGCTGCGCCTGGTGATGCGTGCGCTGCTGCTCCGGTTGCGGCCCTGGGGAATGCAGAGCGGGTGAGCGGTGATAGTGGTGCTATTGTGCCGATGGGGGGTGCCGGATTAGGAGGGCACATAGCAGACGTAGCAGGAGCAGCAGTGGCAGCAGAAGCAGCAGGGATGGCAGGGGCGGCAGGTTGGCAAGGCATGGACATAGAGGCGAGGGTAGATGACAGCGATGCTCTGAATAGCGCTGGAGATGGGATGCGAGGAGGCGGAGGCGGAGGAGGAGGAGGAGAAGGAGCAGGTGCTGCTGCTGCCGCTGCTGGTGAGCTCGGCGACAGCAGTGGCAGCGGCAGCGGTAGTGGGCGGGGGGGTGTGCTGTTCTATGTGAAGAGCCGGGGGCGTGGGACGGAGAGCAGCAAGCGGGCGAGTAGGATCAAGAGCACGCGTAAGTGTGAGGGTGAAGGTACGGAGGCGTTGACTCCGCAGGCACATGCGAGTGAACCGGGGCCGTTGGAACGAGAGGGATCGACACAGACATGTGTGCAGGCAGAAGGCGCAGCAGGTGTGGCTGTACGAGTGCAGCTGCAGAGACATGGAGAGGGGCATGGGCATGGGGGTGAAGTGAGAGAGGGAGAGGGAGAAGGAGAGGGAGCAGGGAGGAGGGAGCAGGGGCGGACGCCTGGGAGAGTGATGGTGGGAGTGATGAAGCCGGTGAGTGGCTTGGGTGGTGGTGCTCACAGGTTCGGATCCACTGGCATGTTCGCTGCTGCTGCTGCTGCTGCTCCACGTATCGTCATTGCAGAGCACACAGGCGACACTGGCACAGGTGCCATGGCAGAAGGAGCAGCAGCACCCACAGCAGCAGGAGGGGCAGCCGCAGCAGCAGCAGCAGGGGGAGGAGGAGCCGCAGCAACAGCAGCAGGAGGCGAGGCAGGGGGCGGGTTGCTGCAGCTGCTGCTATCAGAGCAAGGAGCAATGAAGGAGAAACTAGGCAAGTTCATGCTGGACCCGATCCGCCTTGATATCGGCCACGTGCTCGCCGTGGGCGCCTCCGGCGAGGTGCGGCGTGGGCGCTACCAGGGCCGGGAGGTCGCCGTGAAAGTTCTCAAGGCGGAGAGGCATGAGGCGCATACGGCGAGAGCAGAGTTTCGGAGAGAGGTGGTGACGCTGGTTTCGTGTGGGGAGTGCCCGCATTTGCTGAAGTTTTACGGGGTTTGTGTGGATATGAGGCAGCGGATGTGTATAGTGACGAAGCTGATGAAAGGGGGGAATCTGCATGATATGCTGAGGCGAAGGCATGGCGTGGGGCTGCCGCTGCCGCAGCTGGTGAAGGTGGCGATGGAGGTGGCGCTGGGGATGCGGTTTCTCCACCGCCATGGCATCATTCACCGGTGCGTGCGTGTAGCGCGGGTCTTGTGTGGGTGTTGGATGGGTGTGGGATGGGTGTGGGATGGGATGGGTGTTTCTTAGGTGTGATGTGAGATGGGTGTTCATCGGGTGCTGGATGGGTTTGGGATGGGTGTTTGGTGGGACCGTGGGTGTTCAGATGGGTACTGAGGTTCCTAGCCCAGATGGTCGTTTGCCCATGTGGGTAGGTCTTTGCCTTTCCCGCCCTCCCATATCCATCTCCGCAACCCTCTCCACCCCGTCTAACCCTCCCACCGCTCCCCACCGCACCCAACCGCACCCAACCGCACCCAACCACCAGGGACCTCAAGCCGGCGAACGTGCTACTAGACGAGCAGGGGCGCGCCGTCGTAGGAGATTTCGGCGTGGCACGGCTCATCAGAGAGCGCGCCGAGATGACCAAGGAGGTGGGCACCTACCGCTGGATGGCCCCTGAAGCCTTCGGCACCACAGGCCAATGGACCGTGACCCAACGCAGCGACGTGTACAGCTTCGGGATTGTCCTCTGGGAGCTGCTCACCGCGCGGTTACCCTACGAGGACTACTCGCCGCTACAGGCGGCGGTGGCGGTGGCTCTGAATGGGTTGCGGCCGCCGCTGCCTCACGAGTGCCATGCGGGGGTGAGGAGATTGATAGAGCGGTGCTGGGCGCGGGATCCGGGGGATAGGCCGGAGTTTGATGAGATTGTAAGGGCGCTGGCAGCGATTGGGGGTGAGGGCGTGGGGGTGGAGTGGGAGGGGATGGGTGGTGTGGTGGAGGTGGGTGTGGGTGTGGAGGGAGAGGAGAGGGGGCGGGGGGTGGTGGGGGTTCGAAGAGGCGAGGAGAAGGACGGTGATGGTAAAGCCGATGGTGGTCCTGGTGGTGGTGTTGCTGCGGCTGCCGCTGCTGCTGTTGGTGGGGGTGGGCACGCTGTTATTGCTGCGGAGGTTATGGAGCAGCACATGCCCAACAGCCAGCCCAGAAGTGACACCTTTCCTGCTGCTGCTCCCATGCAGGAACTGCAGCAGCCGCAGCACCACGCACAGCAGCAACAGCGGCCGCAGGTGGTACTGGTGGAGCAGCGGGGGGTGCAAGGAAGGCCCATGCAGCAGGGAGATTCCAGTGCAGCCCTTGCATCCATGCAGAACGGTCCTGCTCGTGAGTGCTTGCAGTCGATAAGCGGGCCTGAGCGGGGTGGGAGCGAGAGCGAGGGGGCGATGGATGGGACGTGCGAGGAGGCAATGGAGGTGGTGGAGCAGATGCTTCCAGAGCTGCATGTCAGTGAGGGGGAGGGAGGGCGGGGCGAGAAGACCGTGCGTGCAGGACGGTGAAGGTGAAAGGTGCAAGTGCACGTGAAACTGCCGAAGCGAAGCAGCAGTGGGAGGAGGCAATGGAGGTGGTGGAGCAGATGCTTCCGGAGCTGCATGTCAGTGAGGGAGGAGGCGGGCAGGGCGAGAAGAACGTGCGTGCAGGACGGTGAAGGTGAAAGGTGCAGGAAGAGCTGCACTACAAGCGAAGCAGCAATTGAGGTGAGTGGAGTGGAGCAGATGGTTCCGGAGCTGCATGTTGGTGAGGGAGAGGGCGGGCGGGCGGGCGAGACAGGAGAGATAAAGCGCATGGAGGAGGAATGTGAAGGGAAAGTGCAAGGGAGGAGCAGAGGTGGGAGAGGTGGGATTGGAAGTGTCTTCACCAGCAGAAGAGCAGAGCCGTGAAGCATTATTGAGCGACAGTTGAGGATGTCGCATACCCTCAAGGCTCAAGCTGCTACCAGTGATATCGCGAGCAGCAATAGAAGCAGCAGCACTCGCTGTGGCAAGAGCAGCAGCTGCTATCGCTTCAGTCTCCGGCTGCGGATGAGTCTCACTTACAGCAGATTGTCGCACATGCGTTATGTCACACCACCACATCACACCACACCATGTCACACCACACCACGTCACACCACACCACGTCACACCACCACATCACACCACACCACATCACATCACACCACATCACATCACACCACGTCACACCACACCACGTCACACCACCACCACATCACACCAGCGCACCATATTTGCAAAAGAGCTGGATACCACTCCCACCTTAACACAGGGAGTGATGCAGCGTGTTTTTTTTGGGGGGAATGCTGCCAGATACTGTTGCCAGCGGTGCTGCCAATGCTGCTGTGCTGTGGATGCGGCTCCCCGATTGTCAGCACCTGCTGCTGCCAGTGAGGCTAGATGATGATGCCTATACATGCGGGGGGAATACGCAGGGACCATGATGGGATGGGTTTGGGAGTGGAGTGTACGATTGGCAGCAGCGCAAGCACAGCAGCGGCACAGAAACATGACAGCACTGCACTACTGTGGTACTCCTTTCGTCCCCCCCCCCCCCCCTCTCCATCTCTGTTGTGTTGTGCAAGCACGTTTTTTCTTCTCCCCTGCTCGCGACGAGCTCTGCTAGCTTCTTTTCTGCGCCACCCATAAGGCAATGGCGTGATTTCTTGATTTCTTTACAGCAGCAAGACATGTGGTGTGCCATGCTCTGATACCGTATTATATTAAAAAAGTGCTCATTTTAGTATCTGTTATTGCTTATGATGCTGGGCAGACTCCTCTCACCTCTTGCAAGTGAATATTCCCCAAAGTGGCAGCATAGACAGCAGAAGCAACACCCATTCATGCCAGTCCCACAAATTGGTTGTGATAATGTGATGTGAACCAACCATAACCCATCGGTGCTAGTGTAGCTCTCCATATCGAGACTGAACACACTACAACATCATGTGCTCAGGTCTTCTTATTCCATTCCCCCCCCCCCCCCCCCCCCTCTTTACCATAGCACATGGGCACAGTACACTCACAAAGCAAGCCCATGTTGGCTTGCTTGCAATGCAGTGACAATGGATAGATGGAACCTCGTAGCAAGCAGATTGGCTACGTAGCGAGTGTGCTAATTTGCCGAGTGTTTCGCAATAGTAAATGCTTCAGTGAACGTCAGCAAGGTTTGTCAAATCAACTAGGATACCATAGTTCACATTACTGGACCTACCGGTACTAATTGCTACAGTAGTGATGATGGGCAGGCGGGACTAAACAGTTCCTTCCTAGTGTTGGGAATGATAAGTCTTAAGCGCCTCTGTCGTGTCGAAACTCAGGACACTAGCGAAGCAGTCCGAATCGAAGCATCGCGAGTCAACCCTCGGAGGTTAGGGTAACCGCCTGGAGGTTACGAGAAGGTCAAAGGTCAGCGACCTTTGACTTGACAAACACAGCGCGACAGCAAGGACACACAACTGACTCGACATTGAGCAGTTGCCCGAGTCGCACTGTATCGAATCGCAACAGTAAAACGGTTTTAACTTATCTATTCGTATTCCTTGTACTCTTATATAAACCTTTGTATTTGCTTGTTTAAAATAACTTACTTTGCCCTCACATACTAGCGCAAGGTGGTTCAAGTCTCAGAATCCCAACCACTAGACCATTGGGATAAAAGGGCTTGTTTCAGTAGCGGGTCAGTGCGCCCATAACCCCCCAGGCAAATGTGCCTGTAACCCTTCCCTAGGATCGATCGGGGATCACCAGTGGACCTCTGACACCCCCCCGCACTGGGATGCCCGAAGTGCATACACCGGGATTCGAACCCGAGACCTTCGCTCTGGATACCATCTCAGAATCCCAACCACTAGACCATTGGGATAAAAGGGCTTGTTTCAGTAGCGGGTCAGTGCGCCCATAACCCCCCAGGCGAACGCGCCTGTAACCCTCTCCAGGATCAATCGGGGATCACCAGTGGACCTCTGACATCAAGTATTTTCATTCAAACGCTTCCGCTACTACAACTCTACTCAGACTTAAAACTCTACAAAGATCCTAGGGCACTTCAGCCCAACATGGTATGAGAGCAGTTAGAGTTTTAAAGTTGCTTTCCTTTTAACACTCAATACAAGAAGACATGTCTGCAAGGAAGGAGAGGAGCTCCTCCAACGGCTCTCCAGGCACTACTCCTACTCCACCTCCTGTCTCTGGTCTACAGACAGAGGAAGGGACTACCACGAGACCAGCAGCTGGGTCTACGGAAACGCCCGCAGGCTTCGATCCAAGCATGATGGAAAAGTTCTTCTCCTTCATGTCCTTCTACGAGCAGCACCAGCAAGGAGCACCTGCGCAATCAAACAACAGCAACAACAACAACGTGACGCCTATGAGTCTCGATGGCTCATCCTACGCACGCGGGATGCAACAACAGCCTACCTTTGCGCCATACGAGCCCCAGCGTGGCTCCGTCAGCTTCATGCCGCAACCGCAACCTGCACCAGGACAAGAAAGGGCATTGGATGCGTTACAAGTTCAATCGCAATTCGCGCATGTCTTAAAACTACAAACGACAAAGCCTTTCGACGGCAAAGATTTCTTCACCTGGTCGTTCGAGTTCGAACTGATGATGGAAGGAGCACAGATTCTCGGCTTCTTCGACGGGTCCCTGCCATATCCAACAAACGGGACGCAATATGAGAAGCAGCAATATACTTATCAATCGATGATGGCGTATAGGATACTGCTGAGGAACATCACCCCGACCCAGCAGCAGAACATCAGGACTTACCGAGGCTACGGCAACTCCGCGGAGCTCGCGTACAACCACCTGAAGAACCTGTATCAAGCAACAGACAGCGTAAATCAAAGCAGGTTAATGGCGCAGCTGACAACGATTGAAATGAAACCAGGCGAGAAAGGCATGGCTTATATCAGCCGCTGTCGCGAATTGCGCGACAAGCTTCTTCGATGCGGCGGGTCGATTTCAGAAGACGCCTTTGTCACGGTGGTCATCGGCGGTCTCGGCCCCCACTGGCGCTCCACTCGCGCCATATTACGAGCACACGGGAGGATTTCCGAAGCGGCACTCTGCGCCGAAATTCATGTTGAGCAGCAAGACATGGACCTGCAAGAAGAAAGACACAAGAAGAAAGCATTAGCACCAGAGTTTGCGTTTCACACTCAGCGACGATACAACGGCAACAACAACCGTCAACAACAAGTAAAGACAGTACCTCCGTTCTGCCACATCTGCAAGACTTCGGGCCATCCTCGCACGCACTGCCCGTCTCGTCAGACAACACCACAGCGACAACTCCGGCCTTCAAGCTCCCAAGTTGCTTCAACGCAAGCAAGTCCGATGACCACAATCCAAGCTTCAACGACTTCAACTGGACAACCTGCACAAGGAACAAAAAGCATCGTCATTTGCATGGTGAAGATAACCGATTCGTGCACAACCAAGTCACCACCCCACTACTCACCGGAAGAAGAGCTCGACAACAGGACGTCTCGCCGCGAATCACTCCAGCCGAATCCGACGTACGCCGCCATCGCTCAAAGCGAACCATCCGGCCAAGACACTTGGTTCTTGGATAGTTGCTGCGGACAACACATGTGCTCCTCCGGGCGCTTCGTTCAACGCGAACATCGACTCCAGCGAGAAGTAGTCATCACGGTCGCCAACAATCAGAACCTGCGCACACGACGACAAGGAGCGGTACAGCTTCAGTCACGAGAAACAAATGTCATATTACACATGTCAAAGGTACTTATCGCGGAGGGACTAGGCTACAACTTACTGAGTGTCAGCCAGTTGATGGCGAAAGGCATCCACTTGGAAGCCGACAACACCACCCAGGAGTTTAAGTTATACCACGGGAAGGGCGGCCTCTACATCGGAAAAGCAGTGTTGAAGAATAACGTCTTCGTCCTCGATTTCGTCCCCGACTTGGGCACTGCAGACAGCGACGCCATCGTCAACTTCACCGTCTGGACTCATCCTCCGGATCTCGATCCCGACTTCAGCCCAGGAGGTTTCTGGTACTCGCACACCATCCTTGAAGCAGAACGAACACGAGCATTAGCAACGATTCAACAAACGACAGCAGCAGAGACAACATCGACAGCAGCAGAGACAACATCGACAGCAGCAGAGACAACATCGACAGCAGCAGAGACAACATTGGCAGCAGCAGAGACAACATCGGCAGCAGCAGAACCATCATCGGAAGCAGCAGGACCAACGACACCAGTCATCGAAACACCACCAACACCCGCACAACAGCTGAACCCGACTCAACGAGAAGTCCACCGAAGCGCAAACATCGTCGCCAACTTCTACTCCAACTCTGACGCGTATCAACGCTCACCCGGACATCGCGCTCCTGAAGACATCTGGCACGCACGCACAGGACATCCAAGCAATACGGTGTTAAACAACACGATACGAGCTGGAGTTCTAGACAAGGATTCGCTACTACTACTCGACGGCAGAGAACTTCAACGTGCACGAGGGACTTGCCTCATCTGCCCCGAAGCCGACTTACCCCATCGACCGTTTTCCTCTCACCACAAACCGAGCGCACCTGCATACGCACCACTCGAGAAAGTTTACAGCGACATCCTCTACAATCGAGAACCAGGACAAGTCACCTACAATTACACGATCACCTTCATCGATGCCGCCACTCGATACGTCTGGCATCGCAACCTACCCAGCCGCGACATGGCACTCGCAGCATTCGCCGCTTGGCTACCGGTAGCAGAGAGGGAATCAGGAACACAACTGAAAAGCTTCCAGTCAGACGGAGGAGGAGAGTACACCTCTCAGCGCTTCAAGCAGTACCTGGCGGAAAGAGGGATCAAGCAACTCCTCTCCCTTCCCTACGCACATCAGCAGCAAGGTGTAGCAGAAAGAATGAACAGGACTCTGCAGAACAGCATGCGCAAACTGCTACGTGGCATGCGGCTACCCAACCACCAGTGGCCTACAGCAATGGACCATGTTGTCATGCTGCACAACTTGTTGTCGTCGTCGTCACTCCCGAACAACGCCTCACCGCATCTGCTGTGGACAGGGAAGCTGGGCAGCACAAGAATGTTACGAGTTTTCGGATGCATGGTACAGTACAGACCCCCAGAAGCACGAGCGGGAAGATTTTCATAACGGGCACAGTGGGGACTACACCTCGGCATCGAGAAACATTACAACGCGTGGAAAATCTTCGACGTCCACACAAAGGAAACAGTAGCAGCACGTGATGTGATCTTCTACGAGCGACTCACCCTTCAGACGTACCTCGCCAACTTGCATGAGAATCGGGACCTCATAGGTGGCTTTCGTGGTGACCGAGCCTTCGCCTCAGCAGCGGACGAAGCAGACTGGGATGAATAGAACGTCGACAACGCATCGGAAGAAGCCGGACCTCTCCCGTACTGCTCCGTCGACGTGCCCATGGACGAAGAAAATCCTCGCGACAGTAACAACGCCGAAGTCTTCTATCACTTCGCCGACAACGGTTACGTAACACCTGCGACAGTCAACACAAATGAAGCAGAAAGGATAGGGCCAAATTTCATACCCGATCCAGAAGCAGGAGACGAAGCAGCTTATCCCGAGGATACAACACTCCCCCGATACTCACAGACTGGGCTGCAAATCCTTGGTCTCGTCACCGCAGTCCACGGGAACACAGGCAGCACGCTTCCTAAAGAGCCTGCGACGGTTCAGCAGGCTCTGGGGGGGGAACACAGGGAGAAATGGCGTGAAGCCATGGACAGGGAATTAAAAGCATTAGAGGAACGCAACACCTGGAAGGTCGTTCCCGCAAACGTGGCACGGAACAAGACCATTCTCACCGGGAAATGGGTCTTCCGCATCAAGACGAAAGCTGACGGCACAATCGAGAAGTTCAAAGCACGCTGGGTCGTGCGTGGATTCGACCAGGAGCAAGGACGAGACTTCACCGAAACATTCGCCCCAGTCAGTCGACATACCTCTCTCCGAATCCTTCTCGCCGTCGCCGCCATGAAGAAGAAGAAGCTGCGACAAATCGATGTTGCCAACGCATTTCTCTACGCACCCGTCGACGCCGAAATCTTTGTCGAACTCCCACACGGCACTCACGGAAATCCTAATCAGATCTGCCAACTACTGAAATCACTCTACGGAATCAAACAAGCCCCGCGACTGTGGCAACAGCACCTACACACCCGACTCACTCGCATCGGATTCCGCCAACTGCCTCACGACCAAGGAATGTACCGCCTCACCAAAGGCGTAGACTACATCCTACTGATCGTCTATGTCGACGATTTGCTCTACATCGGCTCCACTGACGACGTCACCACCTGGTTCGAAGGGGAGCTGCAGAAAGACCTCACGCTCACGGTCTCTTCTACCGTGACCCAGTACCTCGGGCTCAACATCCGCGAAGAAGAAAATGCGATCTACCTAAGCGCCGAGAAATACGCCGACACCATCGCCAAACGTTTTTCACTCACACCTACCGCCATCGCCACACCATACCGCTACACGGCAGGAAACGACAAGGGAAATTCCGCTCCACTCAAAGCTGCCGAAATACGAGACTACCAAAGGAAACTGGGCTGCCTTCTCTTCGCAGCTGTCACCTGTCGCCCGGATCTATCCTACTCCGCAAGCCAACTCGCCACCTATCTCAAGAAATCCGAAGCAAAGCATCTGGCGGAGCTCGATCGCGCACTACACTACTTCGTGAGCACACCGACGATCGGCCTGACTTACTACAAAGGCGAAGCTACGACGACGAAACTAATCGGCTACGTCGATGCTGACCATGCCGGCGATTCTGATAACAGGCGCTCTCGCACTGGCTACGTCTATCGTCTCGAGCCTATTGGACCTATCTCCTGGCAGTCGAGTAAGCAGGAACTAATCGCTCTCTCTTCAGCTGAAGCAGAACATATCGCCCTCTGTTCAGCCACCAAGGAAGGACTCTACCTTCGCGAGCTGCTGGAAGAAGCAAAGTTAGCCGAGTTACCCAACTTCATCCTATTCTGTGACAACCAATCTGCAATTCGCATCGCCAACAAAAGCGGATTCGCGAACAGAACGAAGCATATCGCTCTGCGATACTTCTTCGTGAAGGACGAGATCGAGAAAGGGAAACTCGAATTATCCTACTGTCCCACGTCCGAGATGGCAGCCGATTATTTGACCAAGAAACTCGGAAAACAGAAGTTCGAGTACTGCATGATGCTGACCGGACAAGGCCACGTCACCATCAGCGACACTCCAGAAGCGAAGGGGAGTGTTGGGAATGATAAGTCTTAAGCGCCTCTGTCGTGTCGAAACTCAGGACACTAGCGAAGCAGTCCGAATCGAAGCATCGCGAGTCAACCCTCGGAGGTTAGGGTAACCGCCTGGAGGTTACGAGAAGGTCAAAGGTCAGCGACCTTTGACTTGACAAATACAGCGCGACAGCAAGGACACACAACTGACTCGACATTGAGCAGTTGCCCGAGTCGCACTGTATCGAATCGCAACAGTAAAACGGTTTTAACTTATCTATTCGTATTCCTTGTACTCTTATATAAACCTTTGTATTTGCTTGTTTAAAATAACTTACTTTGCCCTCACATACTAGCGCAAGGTGGTTCAAGTATTTTCATTCAAACGCTTCCGCTACTACAACTCTACTCAGACTTAAAACTCTACAAAGATCCTAGGGCACTTCAGCCCAACACCTAGTACCGGTACCTACACTCTCCATTCCATCATCAACCGCTGGCAGGTGCTGCTGCTGGTGCTGCTGCTGCTGGTGGTGGTGGTGCTGCTGCTGGTGCTGCTGATACTGGTGCTGCTGATACTGCTGGTAAACCCTCTGCTACACCAACTGTTGCTTTGTCCCCTGCATCACTCCCCACTGCTGCTGCTGCTCCAGCTGTTCCCAATCCTTCCACCTGTGCCCCCGCTGCCCCTGCTCTACTCAACCCTGCTCCTCCTGCTCCCCCCTGTGCTATACCTGGTCCTACCCACCCACGTCCTCGCTCCCCTCCTACACCTGCTCCTCCTCTGCCTCCTCCCCCTCCTCCACTCCACCCCCCTCGTCCTCCTCCTCCTCCCCCTCCTCCTCCACCCCACCCTCCTCGTGCTCCTCCCCCTCGTCCTGCTCCTCCACCTCCCACCCCTCCTCCCCCCCACCCCCCTCCTTGTGTGCGAGGGGAAGCGCGGGTCACACGCAGCAACATCATGCCCAGGCGCTGAGCGGTGCAAACAGGTGGGGAGGAGCAGGGAGGGGTGAAAATGTAAGATGGAGGCACACGATGGAGAAATCAGGCGGCTCTGGACATGTGAGTGTGGAAGGGAAGGGGTGGAGAGGCTTCGAGAACCGGATTCTAGGCACCTAGGAAACATTTGGGCGTCTTACTAACGGCCTTTGCGGTACCTCAAAATGAGAGAAACGGCAAGAGAGAAAACCAGGAGAAATATAAACAGCAAGAGAACTACAGAAGGAGAGCAAAAATAAGAGAGCTGCAACACAAGACCTGCAGCACAAGCATTGAAAAGGAACGTTGAGGGGACGGGGGAATGCACCTGGCCGTCAAGATGCTTCTGAGCAGCATCGGCGTCGTCAGATCGGACGAACTCCACAAAGCCGTACCCCTTGGTTTGATTGCTGTCCACGTGCCGTGGGACCGACACTGCAGCCAGGGGAGCGATGTGTAGGCGAAGTAGACAGGGTTTTGAGGACTTTGAAAGATCGGCTCATCGCACGCAGTCAGTGCAGCGTGACGTAGGTGTAGGAGAGAAGAGAGGAGAGGAGAGGAGAGGATAGGATAGGAGAGGATAGGATAGGAGAGAATGGGTTGCAGTGGCCGGAAGAAGGAACGGCACATATCAAGAAAAAACACACGGCAAGGAACAGTAGAGAGACTAGGAGCAGCAAGCAGAGGAAGAAAGGACGCTTGACCTGATGGTTATCAGTAAGGAGCTTGTAGACGCAATCAACAATCAACCTAAAAATGATGCAGCAAGGCAGGTGCTGCTAATGAATTGACTCAAACGCAGCAAGGAAGACCTTCCTTATGACGCAACTTCAAAGCCGCACGCAAAGGAGAATTGGACAGCAGGTGATGCAAGAGGCGGCAGCAGGCAGCAGGCAGCATGAGTGGTGTTGTGCCATAGCAGACCAGTTGACCCCAAAACAAACAAAAAACCGAGTCGACTCGAAAATGGAAAAAAAAAGGTCCGAGGCGGCTAGAAAATATGAAAATGTCTGAAACGGATATTAAAAGCGGCGGCGGCAGCAGCAGGAAGCAAGAATGGCGGGGTAGCATGCTATCAGATCATATCATACCATGGCGGACGGGGCCGAAGGAGCTGAAGGCGTCTTTGAATCGTGTTTTGAGTCAATTTTGAGTCGAGTTTTGAGTTGACTCAAAACACGACTCATTACACGCGGAGTTTTGAGTCGACTCAAATGGCAGGGTAGCATGGCATCATATCAGATCAGATCATACCATGGCGGACAGGGCCGAAGGAGCTGAAGGCATCTTTGAGCGTGTTCTCATCCACTTCATAGCCCAGGCCTGGTGGACACGTGGTGGCGAAACCCCGGGGGAAGGGAGAGAAGAAAAAGGGCAAGGAGGGGAAAGAAGAGGAACGGGTTTAGTGAATCTAATGGGTTTTGAGGTGCCCGCTGGTTTAATTTAACGGAGGAGGGACCAAAAAAGGGGCTGGCTGGGGGGAAGGAAATGGGGGTGCGGGTGGATGGGGAGGGAAGGGCGGGGGAGGGGAGGGGGTGAGATCGAAACAGCGTGAGAAGGAGAAGAGGATGAGAGAGAGGAGAAAGGCCGAATGGGGAAAACAACGAGTGAGTGGGCGCGTACCGCCCACGAAGAGTCGGGTTTGGAAGTATGCGCCACCGCCACCCCTGTCACCGCCACCACGAGCGCCCCCCCCACCAAACGGCGCATTGTGGGACGACGCTCCGTATGGAACCGCTCTGCTGCTAGGAGCAGCAGCGCCGTTGAAAGGAGCCCCGTTAGAAGGAGCCCTGTTGTATGGAGTAGCGTTGGCAGGCGCACTCCTGGTAGGGGCACCGCTAGTGGGAGCAGCATGGGTGGGAACGGCATCCTTTGGGGGAGCAACAACGGATTCCGCACCGCTAGGAGCTGCAACGTTAGAAGCGGCATCGGCGGAAGCAGTATCGGCGGAAGCAGCATCAGCGGAAGCAGCATCAGCAGCAGCGGCGGCGCCATGCGCAGCGTGATGCATCAGCGCGGCGGGCTGCGCGCGCCAGGGGGAGTGCGCCAAGGAGCCATGATCCGCCTGCACGTGCGCGCGCGCCAACGACAGCGCATGCACCAGCGCTTGCGGTTGCGCTTGTGGTTGCGGTTGCGGCTGCGGTTGCGCCTGTGGCGGGGGTTGTGCTTGCCCTTGTGTGAGGGAATGCCGCGGCGCGAGTAGCGATTGCCCTTGCAACGCGGGCTGTTGGCGGCCCCCGCGAAGGAGTGCTGCTGCGGAACGGCGGCGGAAGAGGGACGATCTGAGGCGTGGAAGTCGATGCATGATGGGCAGTGGGATGGGCGCTTGGGGATAGAATGATACACAAGGTGGAACCAAACGGGAGGTGGGATGAAACGCGGAGTGGCAGGAAGAAACGATCAGAACGATCAGGAGGGACAAATCGTCGTGGTGGCGGCTGTGGTGGTGGCGGCGGCGGCGGCGGCGGCGGCGGCGGCAGCGGCGGTGGTGGTGGTGGTAGGACAGCTTGCAGTTAGTCGACTGCGTGAGAAGGTGAGCGGTAGACGCTTCTAAAAAGGCCCTCGGAACACGAGGGACACGCGGATGCGCTGCTGCCACGTCAGCGATCGTCGCGATTGGATCGGATCAGAGCAATCACTCGCGAGAGAGGTTTGCTTGCGACGTGGGCATGCGACGGCGCGCGACGATGGATCCTATCGCCGAGCGACGGCGGACGATCTGTGAGGGCTGATCCGAGGAACCTAAAAACCGGAAAGACGCGCGACTGATGAAAGGACAGCCCACCGAATGCAGCAAATTTGAGGAATCTGCTTTGTTTTCTCGTGCGACCCGTGATCGCAGGTTTATTGAAGGGTTTAAAACGGGCAGGGGGAATATCTCGTCGTAGCCCCACCAACGATTCAAGGAAAACACAACATTCGAGGATATTGTATCGGGCAGGAGTGGTTGCACGTCCAGGACAGGGTGTTTTTGGGAGAAAACACGAGGCTGAAAGCTCGGAATTGAGAACTAACGATTGAAATGTGATTGAGATGTTAACAAAGCGGTGAGATTAAATCATTCCGTGGTTGCACCCGTCCCTGGTGCCCTCCTCCGTCGAACTACCGTCCCCACATTGCTAGCTAAATAAACAAAAAACCAACACACTGATCTCCCTCCCGTCTTGATTACTTCCCGTTCGCCTCCCGCACTTCCTTCCCAACCAAGTGATCATCACCTCTCAACAACCCCCATGTCTCAGACGGAGCCTGAAAATGCGCCGCAACTCGCGGCAACACGAGTCGGCGACGACGAGTCGAAAGCCGCATTTTCCGCGCGTAAAGAAACAGTTGACGACGCGGCGGGAGAAAGAGACGGGAGGGACGGGCAGGATGGGCGGGACGCGTCTCCGTCCCCCCCGTCCTCGTCATGCGTGGACGCGTCGCTTCTAGCGGAAGAGCTTAGCGCGTCCACTCTTGCGGCGCTGCAGGATTTCCTTTCCGCGCAAGCCGCCGCCGCGCAGCACCAGCACGCGCTTTCCGCGCAAGCGGCGGATACCGGCTCCGCGGAAGGGGGGCGCGCGGGCGGGGATGAGGCTGGCGGAGCTGCGCGCGATGGGGAAGGCGCGGGGACAACGGGGGGACAGGAAGCGGTTGAAGACGCGCTGTTTGCGGAGGATTGGGGTTTAAGCCAGTTCTGGTACGACGCGCACACTTCCGCGACTGTGGCGGCGGAAGTGGCGCGGTTGATGGGCGGAGGCGCGGCTTGCGCGCGTGCTGATGAGGAGGGGAAAGGAGAGGAGGCGGAGGAAAAACCGCGGGAAGAAGCGGACGGGGAAAGCGCGGGGGGAGGGAAGGGCGTCGAACGAAAGGAGGGGAGGGGGAATGGGGAGGGGGAGGGGGAGAGTAGCGTGGGCAGCGGAGGCCCCAGATGTTGCTGTGTGGCTTGCCCGACCCTGTTCCGTGAACTAGTCGTGAGTTGCGCTACAGTTGCTGCTGCTGCTGCTGCTCCTCCTCCTCCTCCTCCTCCTCCTCCTCCTCCTCCTCCTCCTCCTCCTCCTCCTCCTCCTCCTCCTCCTCCTCCTCCTCCTCCTGCCCCGCAGCATTGCACAGCGCATCTTGTGTAGAGTGAGACACGTGTGGGGATGTGATGATAAATACTTCTGTGGAGTGAGACGTGTGCGCCTGCCGTGAGCTATTCTTTTACCTCCCTTCCCATCTTTCCCCCATTCCCCTTTTCCCCCTTTCCTCTTTTCCCCCTTTCCCTCTTTCCCGTTTCCCCGTTTCCCCCCTTTCCCCCGGCCGCCCCGCCCCTCCCCCAACCAGCGCCGCTACCCGACCATGAACGTGCATCTGCTGCATGAAATCCCACATGCCTTCACCCACTTGCACCCGCTCCACTCTCTCCCGCCCCCCTTTCCCCCCACCCCTCCTCCACCAGCGGCGCTACCCCGCCATGGACGTGCATCTGCTGGAGTACGACCGGCGCTTTGCTGCCTTTGCGCCGCGCTTCTCCCGCTACGACTACCGCACGCCCCTAGACGTGCCCGCTGCTCTGCACCACCGCTTCGACGTCGTTGTCGCCGACCCGCCCTACCTGGTGCGTTTCTCTGAGTAGACTCAGGAACCAGCTTATGCGTCGTTGTTGTGGACTGGACCCCCCCTGTCTGTCTGGTGCGTGCATGCGCATCCCCATGCGCCCATTCATGCGTCTTGCCATTTCAAGTGAGACACATCATCTGATCTTCTTGAATGCCACACGTTGCTGTGTGTGCGTGCGGCGTCTCACAACCCAAGAACGCTTCGCGAGCACCTCCACTTGCAGTGCCTGGAGGGAGGCTATACACCCTCTCGCAAGTGGAGGTGCTTCCCTTCTCCCTCTCGCTCAACCACCCACCCCCTTGCTTCCCCCATGTTCCCTGCATGCCCTTGCTTTCTCATCGTTTTTTCATACGCTAAACAATGTGACAAAGTCATGGCTCCGAACCCTGGTTCCCCCCCTTGGAACGCTGGACTTGGTCATTCACCGTCGTGGTTCCCTCTGCTTCTCTTTGTCGCCCCCCTGTTTCCCCTTGTCGTCTCCATGCCTTTCCCTTGTCTTCCCCTCGTCTTCTCCTTGTCCCCATCCCCCTGCGAGCAGAGTGAGGAGTGTTTGGAGAAGACAGCACAGACCATGAAGCTGCTAGCCAAGGAGGGGGACTCCACTGCCACTCCGCCCAGCCTCCTCCTCCTCACAGGTACCATTTTTTTCCGTCACACTTCTAACATATACAACCCCTGCTCCTCCTCCTCCCCTCGCCCTCCCCCATCTCCACCTTCTCTCTGCCCCTTGGTTCCTCCGTTCCTCCTTTGCCTTTCTCCCCCGCGCTGCCTCCCGCCACGCCTGATGTAGCACGCCTGCTGTAGCACGCCTGCTGTAGCGCGCCTGCTGTAGCGCGCCTGCTGTAGCGCGCGTGCTGTAGCACGCGTGCTGTAGCAAGACTCTGCTGCACACAGCCTTTTGGTCGTCCTTTCCTTGTGCTCCCCTAACCTTGCCTCTCTGTATCGCTCCCGACCATCATGATCCCAGCATTCCCCTTGATGAGTCTCAGCATGCAACCCATGATACAAATCCCTTTTCACCATCATTCCCCCGTTGCTCTCCACTCCACAACCTCCTTCCCCCCTTCCCTTCCGTTCCCCACTGCCACATTCAATCATCTCACCATCCCTACCTAGTCAACTTTTGAGACGTCTCAAAAGATACCTAATCAGTCTCCTCACCCCGTTTTCACCTCGACCTGGTATTTCCCCGTCTCCCCCCTGCTCCCTCCTTGCACACCACACTCGCCCCTTCTGCACCCCAGGTGCAGTGCAGGCGGAGGCAGCAAAACGTCTGCTGCAGCTGCGCCCGGCTGTGTTCCGTCCAGAGCACCGCAACAAGCTCGGCAACGACTTCCGCCTCTTCACCTCCTACCCGCCGCCCCAATCCCTTGGCGGCTGGGAGCCTGATAGCTAGGCTAGGTTGGATCAGAGTGAGGTAGGATACTGTAGAAGGGATTAGTGAGTCGACTCAAGGATCACCCCCAGTTGTGACCGCCTCACCTTTTAACCGCATCCACCCTCCCCTGACGGCTGAAGGCCTGATTTATTGGCTGCTGTGGCATGTCATACTGTGGTGAGCTATAGAATGGTGTGATGTTCAAATGGTTTCATTCTTGCTGGTACAGAGACGTACCTGGAAAGTTCGGTAGTTACGCAATCCAACTGGTATAGTATAGAAACATGTGTGTGATATATGGCTAGGGGACAAAGTCTGCACTATGAAAAGCACAATTTGAACTCAGCAGCATGGCCTGGGAACTAAGAGGGAGGCCATGCTTGCAACAACCGCCCTTCAACTACCGTACCGTAGTTTTATGGTGTGCAAAGCAGTAGCCATGATGACATAGGTGGTGACAGAGACACGAGGCAGCTATCATTACCTATACCAACGCGGGCACTAAAGGAAGCACCACTAGAGCAGCAATGATGAAGCCTCCTCATCGCCACTCAAACGGTCCACACCACTGGTGGCACTATTACCGGTACCTGCTTGTCCTTGCCATTGCCCTTGCCCTGCTGGTGCACTTGCATGAGGGCTGCTGCTAGCATGAACATTGCTGGCTCCTCCCTGCGCCAACCACCCAGCACTTGCTACGCCACTGCTGCCCGGGTTGCCAGCACCACCGCTGCCAACACCGGCAATAGCTGCAGCAGTAGCTACTGCTGCAGGAGAAGCAGCAGGACCAGCAGGATCACTAGCAGCAGCAGAATTGAAGTCTGATGATAAGTCAAAGTCAACCAGGGGAGCATCGTCCCTTCTATCTGTCACTGCACTTGCAGGTGAGTGCAAGCTACTCGCCCCGCCTCGCTGCTGCTCCCTGTTTGAATGCCCTGAATGCACTCCTGTCAACACTGGTGACGCCGCTGCTGTTCCTGCTAATCCTGCTGCTCCACCTGCTGCTTCCCCAGTAGTTCCCCCAACAGGAAGACAGTCTATCAAAATCTCCTCAATCTCCCCCTCCTGCTCCTCTTGACCCTGCCGATTCTGCTGAGAATCTTGCTGCCGCTGCTGCTGTTGCTGCTGTTGTTGCTGCTGCTGTTGTTGCTGTTGTTGTTGTTGCCGGTGATGGTCGTTGTAGCTTTGCCGATGCTCATCTTCATAAGCAGCAAGATCACTGCGAGTAACTTGGTCACTGCCTATCTCGTCCACTCTCTCCATTATCTGCTGTGGATCCGACCCTCTTCTCCTCACACTTCCCCGCACGTTCTTCCCTCGCACGTTTGGCAACTGTTGACTGCCTTGCTGCTGATGGTGCTGCTCATGCTCTTGCTGGTGATCAAAGCGAGCGCCCATCTCCCGCAACTGCACTTCCATCTGCTGCTGCTGCAGGTGCTGCGCGGGCGACTGGGGGGCAGCAGATGAGCCGCGGCGTAGGAGGCGAGGTGTGAACGTCTGGTGGGAAGATAGCATAGGCAAGAGAAGAGATGGGGAACGGAGGAGGGGCGCGTAGAGGAGGAGAGAGAGAGTGAGGCACATGCTGCGGGGTACTTGAAACTCAGGGAAGGGTTGAAAGCTGGGAGAGGTTCATGGATGTGCAGTACTTTAGCTGCGGGTAATGAGACAACTCTTGAGGTGCCTTAAAAGTATTGATGGAATGAGGAGGTTCATGGATGAGCAGTGCATTTGCTGCGCATGAGCTGGGCAGGGAAGGATTGCTGCGGACAATGAGACAACTCTTGAGGCGCCTTAAAAGGACTGAAGGAATGACGAGGTTCATGGATGAGCAGTGCATTTGCTGCGCATGAGCTGGGCAGGGAAGGATTGCTGCGGGCAATGAGACAACTCTTGAGGCGCCTTAAAAGGACTGAAGGAATGACGAGGTTCATGGATGAGCAGTGCAGTGCAGTGGCATCAGCCATGTCATGCCATTCAGTCCATGCTATGCAATGGTGGCAGTAGTTGCAAAGAGGCGTAGTCACCCAAAGACACATGGTCTAGAGGCAGGATGGCATGGGATGGCATGGGATGGCATGGGATGGCATGGGATGGCATGGCATGACATGACATGCCCAAGCCACCAAGGAACCCCCCTCCCCCACCCGCCTCCCTCCCTTTCCTTTACTGCTCACCTCGATCTTGCCTTCCTCCCATGTGAGGTCCTCAAACTCTGCATGCCCAAGCAAACAGCATGCAACCACAACATTCCTCCCATCCCTATTTCCCCCCTTTCCCCACACCCTTTCACCAGTCCCTCCCTTTCCTTTACTGCTCACCTCGATCTCGCCTTCCTCCCATGTGAGGTCCTCAAACTCTGCATGCCGCTCCTCCAGAATCTGTGCGCCATGTGCACGCGCGCATCATATGGATATAATGGGATTGCATGGATTGTATGAATGGTATGGATTGAATGAATTGAATGCACTGTATGGACTGAATGGATTGTATAAGAGAATGGCGGCCGCCACAACGTGGCAATCACAGGTGCGCATTGCACAAGTTATAAAATGAACAGCAAGGAAGCAAGAAACCAGACAAATGGTGAAAAATGATAAGGGGCGATATGTGGACGGCTGATAACACAGCTGAGATAGCAGAAAGGGGAGAGATGGTGGGGGAGGGGGAAGGAGGAAGGGGGAGGGGGGGGGGGGGGGCAGGGAAGAACACAATGAAGAGGAGCACCAGTGAAGGGGCACGGGGGTAGGGGCACAGGGGGACGGGCACTTGGTAGGGAAGACAGACCTCAGGCAGAAGGTCCTTGCGCGTGATGATGCCAACAGCTCTGGAGGGAGGCGGCACCACACACAGATGGCGCAGTCCCAGCTGCCGAAACAACGTGTGCACCTGGCATGGTGGGATTGAGAAGGTGGGGAAGAGAGGGCACAAGGAGAAAAAGAGGGGGTGTAGTGGTGGCAGTGGCATGTTTGAAACATCAGCCATGCAACAGTCAAGCGGGTGCAATGGATGATGGTCTCTAAAAAGTAGACAGTCCGCTGCTTCTATCCCTCCAGATATTTGTGCTAAGGGATATAGACTTTGCACATCACATGTGCAAAGCAAGACTTGTTTTAGTAGGAAATGCAAGCTTAAAGTTTCACAGTATTTCCACCAACCGACTGCAGGCAACCCTGATTACAGAACGTGGTGGAGGTGGTGGAGTTGCAAAGTCTAAGAGTTTCAGAGAGTATTTTCCAATACTCCAGCAGCTCTGAGTCCGACTCACAGGACGTGGTGGAGGTGGTGGAGATGCAAAGTCTAAGAGTTTCAGAGAGTATTTTCCAATACTCCAGCAGCTCTGAGTCCGACTCACAGGACGTGGTGGAGGTGGTGGAGTTGCCAGACGTGCAGAACATGCGTGTGTGTGTGTAGCCCAGCGAGGAGGTGGAAATGACACCTGAAGATCAGACCTTGTCAATCACGACAGGGTTTCACTCCAAAGCTACCCGGCAGCACGGGGAGCAGAGGGCTTTACTGGGTCATCAGCCGCCACTGGTGGCACCACCAGTGGCCACTGATGATCCAGAGGAACCCTCCTGCCCCCTGCTGCTGCGCGGCTGCCGGAGTAAAGCCCTACCGTCATTGACACGGCGCGATCTAAAAATCGAATTCTGCTTCCACCACCTCTTTGGGCTGGACTGCACATGCATACTTTGCATGTCTTGTCCCTTTCCACCACCTCCACCACGTTCCGTGAGTCGGAAATGGGATCGGTGGAGTCGCCATGAATGCCTCACTCATCTCTCCACGCCAAGCAAATTCTCCCCCAAGGCCTCTCCCCATGCCGCAATCTCAATTCTCATGGACCCCGCCGTGTATATCCCCTTACCCCGCACCCACTGACCCATCGCGACGACCGCGAGCAGTCCAACCTCGCATGTGCGTGGGCGAGCGGTAGCAGCAGTGCTTCGTGGTCGACTCTGGCATATGCAAAAGCTTCATCTCCTCACCTCACGTCCAGCCCTTCCGGAGAGTTTGAGATCGTGAGGAATACGATGGTGAGCAATACGACCTTAGTGAGATGAACACCTTACCGAGCAGTGCACCTTACCTACTGAACAGGCACCTATGGGGCCTCAAAAATAGAACCCGTATGTGCGCAGTCTGTTGAAGCGGCTCAAAAGCAGCGCACATTTGAGCTACCTTAATACTGACCTTAGTGAGCGACATGTTCTCGTCAACGATGAAGGGCGTGGGGTTGAGGAAGGGCCTCAAAAACAGAACCCGTATGTGCGCAGTCTATTGAAGCGGCTCAAAAGCAGCGCACATTTGAGCTACCTTAATACTGACCTTAGTGAGCGACATATTCTCGTCAACGATGAAGGGCGTGGGGTTGAGGAAGGGCCTCAAAAACAGAACCCGTATGTGCGCAGTCTATTGAAGCGGCTCAAAAGCAGCGCACATTTGAGCTACCTTAATACTGACCTTAGTGAGCGACATGTTCTCGTCAACAATGAAGGGCGTGGGGTTGAGGAACGGCCCCAGGTCGATCCAGAGCGTGAGGTCCTCCCGCGACAGCTCTATGTCCCCAATGGTGATGCCCTTGGTGGACACCGGCTTGGCAAAGTCTGAGAACGAGTAGCTTCCCAGCGAGCGCAGGGAGCTGATGGTGGGCAGGAAGGGGGGGAAGGAGTGATTGGGGGACAGAGAGGAGTTTTGACAGAGAGGAGGGGAGGATCAGCTGCTTAGGGAGCGCATGGCGAGCTGAACAAAGACCGGGTTTGGGGGTGAGGGGTAGGAGAGTGTGCGAGGGTGTGACGGCAACAAAGAGGAGAGAGGAGGCTAAAAAAGGAGTGGCTAGTCAGAGAGAGAGGGTGGGTGGGGGTGCAGGGGGTTACCTGGTCTGCAGGGGGTGCATTCTCTCGGTGGGCGACTGCTGAAAGTCCGCCTTGGAGCGCAGAAGCACCAACAGCTGGCTGCGATGGGGCAAGCCAGATACGAGAAGGAGGAAGGGAGGGGGTGGGGAGGGGGAGCAATAAGAGCAGGAGGAAAATAAGAGGGCAGTACGGGGGTTGAAAAGGACAGGAGGCAGCGGCAGCGGTGGCAGCTCCAGCATGAGCAGCATGAGCAGCATCACCCCCACGCACCTGCGCAGAATCAGCCCGGCAAGCGCCGTGTGCCCATCAGGCAGGTCCTGCAGCACGGGGTATCCATTGTGCGACGTAGACCGTAGCACCTCGGCGATGCGCCCCACCATCTCCACGCGCGCAAAGTACACCACCTTGGTGGACGCCGCGTCCCGCGCGGACAGCATGCGCATGAAGCGCTGCGACTGGGCCTCCAGGATGGGGATGCCACGCAGCTGCGCGTGCAGGTCGTAGAAACCCGCGTTCAACCCGTCTCCCACCGCCTGGTGTGGACAGCAGGGGAGTGAAGAAGGGGGAGAAGGAACTTTAGGACTCTGTCACCAGGATTTAGAAAGTGTGTGGAGGTTGTAGAAGCCCGCGTTCAACCCGTCGCCCACTGCTTGGTGCGTGGAGCGAAACGGAGGGGGGGATGGAGGGATGGAAGTGGGGGGTGAAAGGAGGTGAATGATGATATAACAGGTTCAAAAACCCTCAAGAGGTTGCTTCTATTGCTTGCATGCATGCATGTGTGGGTATGTGTGGATGCACAAGGAGGTAGGAAGTGGTAAGTAGCTACTAGTTGCCTAACTACCTAGCTACATAGGTGGTATGTGAGGCTGGCAGGCAGGCAGGCAGTGGCGCGCAGCGACAGGCAGGGGCAGGCAATGGCAGGCAGGCAGCAGTAGGTGGAAGGTACCTTGGAGACGAGGAGGACGAGCATGATGAGTGGGAGGAGGTTGAGGTTGTTGGTGATCTCCACCATGATCACACACAGCGACACCGTCATGCGCATCGACCCCCCTAGGAACGATGCCGCGCCCAGCAGCGCATACCTGCGAGGGGGGACGGGGAAGAGAGGAGGGAGGGGAGAAGTGGAGCGGGGAGGGGAGGGGGGGGAGGAGAGGAGAGGGGAGGGGAGCGGATGGGAGGGGAGGGGAGGCGAGTGGAGCGGAAGGTAGAGGAAGGGAGGGACGGGGACAGGAGGGGGAGGGAGGAGAGTGAAAAGAAGGGGCGGGGAGGGGCGGGGAAGGGAAGGAGGGAGCGGAGGAAAGGGGCAAGGAGGGAAGAGGCGAGAGGGGTAAACTACATGATCCAGCCGAACATATTTTTCACTTGCGTGTCATGCATGTGCATGCATCATGCAGCATGCCCTCGGCTCAGCGGTTCTGTGCTGTGCTGTCCGCGCTATGCCCAGCCCCCTGCACCCCATTTTTTCTCCCTCCCCATCATCCACCCCACCTGTACTTTCGATTCACATTCCCCAAAACCAACCGCCCATGCCACCACCAACACCAACCCTTCTCCCCCCTACCAATCCCCCCACCCCCCTTCCCCAACCCCCCGGTCCTCGACTCACGTGCCCTCGTCGGTGTTGTTCTCGCCGTACATGTGCACCATGAGCATGCCCACCAGCCCCGCCCGTCTCAGTAGCAACCAACCCCGCCCCTCACTCCTTGTCCCCGCCAACACCCACCAACCCCCTCCCTTTCACACTCACGTGCCCTCGTCCGTGTTGTCCTGGCCGTACATGTGCACCATGAGCATGCCCACCAGGCGGCCATACGTGGCGCCAATCATTATGCCCGGCACGAACTGCCCTGACGGCACTGCAATGCCATACGTCAGCACCGCCAGGCAGAAGAAGATGAGCTGTAGGGGAGGGAGGGGGGCGTGTTAAAGGAGGAGGATGGGGGATCAGAGGGGGAAGGGGGAGGAGAGAGAGAGAGAGCAGCGAGAGTTGCGAAATACCTCTGCATGTTGTATTCACATGCCGCATCTACAGGCCCCCTTTGCTTAGAATCCACAATCACAGCAGTGAGGCAGTGAGGCAGTACAGCGGACACACGAAACAAAACTCAAGCCCTGATGAGAAGAGGGCGAGTGAGAGACGGGGGAATTGAGAGACACGGGCAGGTGAGAGGGACATTAAGGGAGCGAGCGAGCTGATTGGGGGGGAGCACGGGCGTGAGGGGGGGGCGAGTGACGGGGGAAACGAGTGGATGAGTGAGCGAGAGAGCAAAGGCAGCGAGGGAGCAAAGGGCGGGGGAGTGAAGGGGGCGAGGGAGGAAGGGGGCTGAAGGTTGGAGGCACTGACGAGGAAGGAGATAAGGGTGGTGGCGCTGTACTCCTGAATGGTGCCGCTGCTGAACAGATTGCGGATGGCGTCGTCCTGTGGTTGCACGATAAGGGGTTAAGGTTCAGGACAACAAGGTGACTTTTGAGTCGACTCAAAAGGGGTTAAGGTTCAGGACAACAAGGGCGCCATGTGGCGAGATGGGGTGAGAAGAAGTGAGATGAGACAAGACGAGGCGAGATGAGGCACGAAGAGATGAGATGAGATGAGAGCGAATGAGTCAAGATGGTGCCGTCCTCCCCTTCACCACCCTTTCATCTTCTTATGCTCTCACGATATATCAACAACAACCCCCCACCCAACAACTCCCCCGCACTCCCTTTCACCTCCCTGCTTTCTCCCCTCTCCCCCATCCTCTTCCGAGCATCCCCACCCCCATCCCCACCCCCACCCCCACCCCCACCCCCAACTTCACCGGCAGCCCGACACACAGCACACCTGTGTGTTGAAGAAAATGGTGGCGAGGTCATTGTACTGGTCGTCACGAGGGCAGTTGAACTGCGGGGGTCGCACACATGCACACAACCACGCACACACGGCCACAAACGTGGTCACACATGCGGCGGAGAGGGAACAGTGCACAGGGGCGGTGCGCAGCACACATGGGGCCACATACGTGCAGAGAACAGCAAGAATGTGAGAATAGACACACGGAATACAGGAGATGGTGGCAAAAAAGGACTGCGAGAGGAGTCGCAAAGGCGGTTTTTTTTCAGTGGATGAGCAAACTTTGGCGAACCCCACTTTACTGGAGCATTGCTTCTCGCAAACGAGGGTCGATTACCTGAAGGGCGTGTACACTGTGGGGGTTCATGATGCATGCAGATTAGCGCCATTCAAATCCTCACCAACTCCGGCGTCGGAGTTCATTATACGCGTGCAGAGTCGGCGAGGATTTGAATGGCGGCTAATTTGCACGCGTCTTGAACTCTCAGAGTGTACACTCCGTTCAGGTAATCGTCCTCGTTTGCCAGAAGAAACGCTCCAGCAAAATGGGATCCGCCAAAGTTTGCCCATCTACTGAAAATAACCGCCTCTGCTCCACCTCCTGCTGGATGCTGCTATGATCTACAATCAACAATAATGAGACAGTGAAAACCCATGCCAGGCTTCTCTATCAAGGAAAAGAGTTGGGAGGGAGCGCAGTGTAGTAACTTGATGCTAGTTTCCTTTCCTCCTCTACTCTCTCCACCCTTCAAACGCACCAGCACACCCCATTGACCCAACACCACAGCCTTCCCATCCCTCCATTACTCCCCATCCTTACAACACCCTCTGTGCCCCAGCTTCCTTTCCTGTCCCCCCAGCTTCTCTGATCCCCCAGCATCCCAGCACTCCCAATCCCCCACCCCACCCCCCACCCCTCACCTGCACGAAGTTCCCCCAGTGGTACTTGGGGCGCGGGCACACAATGTCAGGGTAGCGCATGGGGTCGGGGCACGCCCGGCACGGCGCCAGGAAGGGGATGGTGAAGGACAGTGCTGACGTGGCTGCTGCCACCAGACATGCCTCTATGATCTGAGAGGAAGAGATGGAGAAGGAGGGGGGAGGCGGGGAATGGGGTGGGGGTTTGGGTGGGCAGTGGAGGAGAGGAGGAAGGGGATGGTGAAGGACAGTGCTGATGTCGCTGCTGCCACCAGACACGCCTTGATGATCTGAGAGGGAGAGGGGGGACGCGGGAACAGGGTGAAGTGAGGGGGTGGAGGGATGGACTAGGAAAACATATTTCAGTCAGCTCAAAAGAGATTGTGGGGAAGGAGGGGAGGGGAGGGGAGGGGAGGGGAGGGGAGGGTTGTGGGGAGGGTTGTGGGGTGGGTTGTGGGGTGGGTTGTGGGGAAACGGACCTTGACTCGATCGCCCCGCTTGTGAAGGTAGTTGCGGCGCCACGCGGAGAGGTAGAGCGTGAGCTGGTTGAATAGCGCCCCTGGACGCACGCAGCAGGGGAGGAGCAGGACGAGTACGCAGAACGGGGGTAAGCAGCAGGGTTCAGGGGGGTAAGCAGAAGAAGGGTAAGCAGCGGAGGGGTAAGCAGAGGGAGGCTTGAAAGCAAGCATTGAAAGGAAGGAGAGCATAAAGATGTTAACCACAGTTATTTCAGGGGGCCGGAAGGGGGCCGGGCAGCGAGGAGGATGGGTGGAAGGAAGGGAAGGGAGGATATGAGAGGGATTAATGAGCAGGGGTGTGTGGCAGGGCCTAGAAGGATAGGTGGTCAATGGACATACCTAGAAGACCACCCATGAGACCGAGCATGGTCATGGGTAGCAGCTGATAGGAGAAGAACTCACTCGCTCCCCTGCAAGCATGCATGCATGAGCAGAGACTCAGAAACACGCAACACATGAGACATGCGTGCACACATACAGATACATTCAGCCACACAGCCACACACACAGACGCATACATTCAGCAGATGAGTCATGAGAGGTTAAATCGAGAAGAAAACATTATTCGACATGACATCATGAGTCATGATGTGGCAAGATGTGGCACGATATGGTCCAACATGCATGGCACGGCACAGCATGGCACAGCACGGCACAGCACAGCACAGCACAGCACAGCACGCACCCATGCACATCCCAAATGATGAACCCGCCCGATGCAAATTTGCCGCACTCCCCGCTGGCACACCAGCGCATGCACGCCTTGAGCACCACCGCTACCACTGCTGACGTGAAGAACACCCTCCACATGAGCTGCGGGCGCCACCTGGTGTGGACGAGCCCAGGACCACATACATGGAGGGATGGAGGGAGGGGGGGAGGGGGGGAGGGAGGGAGGGAGGGAGGGAGGGAGGGAGGGAGGGAGGGAGGGAGCGAAGGAGGGAAAAGTGGTGGAAGAGGGTAAGTGGAGAATGGAAAGGGAAGCAAGGTGACATGAGGGAGGGAAGGAAGGTAGGGGTGACGAGTTGAACTCCTCTTCACAGGACTCGGTTCGATTGATACACGAACGGGAGAGAAGGAAGACCAAGGATACGGTACCTACCTTCCATGGTGTGGCAATTGCTAGTCGTTTAAGAACAAGGTAGGTGGGCACTATTGCACTGCACTGCCCTTCCCTGCCCTGAACTGCAGACTCTCGCCCTCATACAATAGAACCGAATGAACAGCCTGCTGCCTACCACATAATGCAAGCAACCCCCTCGCTCACATTTCCTCACCCACCGTCCCTCACCCCTTCCTCACCAGGACGTGACCTCCTCCAGTGCAGCACTCCCCCTACTGGTGCTGACTTTTGAGTCGACTCAAAACTCAAAACTCACCAGGACGTGACCTCCTCCAGTGCAAACAGCACTCCCCCTACTGGTGCTCTGAACGCCGCTGCTGCCCCCGCTGCCGCTCCACACGTGACCTGGGGGACCGGGGAGGGAAGGTTTGATGTCATGTGCGGAGGCAGAGAGAGAGAGAGAGAGAGAGAGAGAGAGAGAGAGAGAGAGAGAGAGAGAGAGAGAGAGAGAGAGAGAGAGAGAGAGAGAGAGATAGAGAGAGAGAGAGAGAGAGAGAGAGAGAGAGAGAGAGAGAGAGAGACTAGGCCGCGCATTTTAGGAGGCAAGCTTAGGTAACGGGACAACTTTAGCAGACAGCATGGCGACAAACATCATCAACTAGCAGGCATCATGGAGAAGGTCTACACAAGACAAAGGGGGGCACCTACATGCGGTCCGCCCCCAGAAACGAGAGCATTCCGCACGTGGTCTGCCACAAGTGGCAGACCACTGACACGCAGGCGGTTAGAGCATCTCCGGGTGTGCCTTCTGCCGACCCTGCAATGTGCCTCAGATCCAGGGCCGCGCGAGCCAGCAGGTTGGCCGCGTCTGCACCCCGGGAGGGCGCTGCCTGCAGTGGCGCCAAGAGGGATAGGATCTCATCCGCCGCCCCCAAGCACGCTGCTTGCGGTTTCTCAGCAAATGTGCTCGGGCGGGATATCGGCATCGACGCACGAGTCGACCGGAGAACACGCGCCATTGCCTCTAGGCACTCCGACAGTATCCACAGCTGACGCAGGGTCGCCGTGGAACATGAATACTCCGCCTCCTCAAGGCGAGGACGAGGGTCACGATACGGACCCCTTGCTGGGCCTCCGCCAGCGCCAACAAAACCCGGGAGAACAGGCGGCTGCTGGACAGAGCGCTGCGGGGACACCGCACGGATGGCTACCTCGACAATGGCGGGAAGAGAACGAGGAACGTTTGGCGGAACGGAGCGACAGGCTGTCGCCGCCTGCGACTCACGGAGAGCAGTTGCGAGCACATCCGGAAGCCTCTCCAGGGTGCGCGCAAAGTCCGACGCAGACTGGCGACCCCCGCCCCCGCGTCCGCGGCCCCCGCGACTGCCACGCCGACCACGACTATTCGACCACGAGCGGGCTGGAGATTGGGGCCGGGGCGTGCTGCGCGGGCGGAGCGCAGGGGATCGCTCACGACGCGATGGAGAATGGCGCCGCCGGCGCTTCACCGGCGATTCGCGCGGAGAACGGCGACCAGGAGAGCGACGCCCTGAGGATTGCCGTGCGGGTGAATGACAGCGAGGCGAATGGCGAGATGGGGAGCGGTGACTTGGCGATCGACGCCCAGGGGAACGGCTGCGGCTCCCCTGACGACGAGGGGAGCGACGCTCGCGGCGATCTTCACGCCGCCCCTCGCAGCGTTCGTCACGAGGCTCAGGCGTCCGACGACGCGGAGAACGCCCCCGGTGCGGCTCCGCCAAGGCGCCAGAACGCACAACAGACTCCGCGCGGGTTGCCACTCTCGGAGGCGAATCAGCGACGCGCGGCCCGGGAGGACGGCGCTGGTCCTCAAATCGGCGCCGGATTTGGTCCGCAGCAGCGGGAGGACGAGCAAGAACGCTCACCGCCGGGCGTGGCGGAAGCACAGGTGCACTCTCCGCGGTACACTCGCGGTCGTGGGCGGACGGAAGTGCCATCCGCGCAAGCACAAGGCGCAATTCCAACACAAGGGGAGCCTACAGCCCCGACTCTCCCCACGCAACAAGCGGCGCTAGCAGCAGGGACCCCGCAGAGCGGACGGGGAAGCGCGCGGGGGAGAGGATCGCGACGAGGAGCGCGCGGAGGACAGAGGAGCGCAGTCCAAGCGGCGAGGGGGCGCGGGCGCCAACCACCGAGCCCAATCTGGCTAGGGGAGCCGGCGGAACGAATCACGCGGCAGTCGTTCGCTAGGCGCGGGGCGAGAGGTGGTGCGCCAGCGCAAGCAGGGAGGAACGTTGATATCATCAGAGAGGCGAGAGACGAGGACTATATACCGTCAGATCTGAGGCAACCAGACAATCCCGACTCACCTCGCGCGGAATCAGGAGAGGAGGTGGCGCAGCAACAGGAAAGAGGAACCAACCGCAGACAGCAGCGCAGAGCCTAGCCCCCACCGGACCAAGCCCTATCTGCGTCCCAGCTGGCCTCGCGGGAGGATCTTTTCTAGATCGCGATGACCTGGGACCTTACGCTCCTAACATCCATCACCCACCAACCAATCGTCCGCCGACTGCCGCCGCAGATCCTCAGCGACTACTCCACCTGTATGCTGGCTGCCTTACTACGGATCTCAAAGCTGCCTAATTGCGCGGGAGCGTGGCGGGTCCTCTTGTTCCTGCCACGTCTCACGCTAAGACTTAGCCGGAGATCCAGCTCTAGGTGGAAACTGCTGCGGGCACAGATGCATCTATTCCGATGTGGCCACTGGACCCAGCTGTACACCGAATACCTGGGGTCAATGCACCAGGCCGAACCACCTCAACACCAACGTGACCCGCTGGGAATCTGCTCACGTGCGGAGGGGTTGGTGAAAAGGGGTAACCTGCGAAAGGCGTTAGCGGCCCTTCAACCCTCGCCATCAGCATCAGCGACATTCGCGACACTACAGCAGCTGGAATTGAAACATCCCCAACCCCAAAATGACCTGCCCGACAGGGTCCACTCCTACACGACACCCACACAATTTTCAACCACCCTGGAAAGCTTTTCGGACGTCCTCGGGGAATGCCCCAGGGGAATTGGGGCTGGCCCATCGGGGTCAACCTTCCAACACTACCGCGATCCAGCGCTAAGTAACATCGAGGTACTAGGGAACCTCCACTCCGCCGTTAAACACCTTCTCTCGACAAACCTTTCCACCGAGGTTGCAGCCCTACTCGCCCCGTCCCGCCTTATAGCCTTCGCCAAACCAGGGGGGGGGGTACGCCCAATCGCGATTGGAGAAACATTGCTTAGGCTGGCGGCGAAAGTGGCACTCACAGACCTGCAAGGAGAAACGCGGAAATTTTTCCTACCTCAGCAATTTGGCGTGGCAGTCCCGGGAGGTGCTGGCTTCGTCATCCATGCAGTCAGAGACCTCACCACCGTGCAGCCCTCCAGCCTAGTCCTCCGACTCGACACTGAGAACGCGTTCAACTCAGTCGAGAGGAGCGCGTTCTTCAACGCACTTATCGGCTCCCCGCTAGCCCCCCTCATCCCCTTCACACGCTCTTTCTACGCATCACCATCACCGCTGCTGCTAGATCCATGCTTTAATTCCACAGCACTCACCAGCGGAAGAGGAGTCAGACAAGGGGATCCCCTCGGACCCCTGCTATTCGCGGCGTCTATCCAGCAGCACCTCAGGCACGTGGCAGCGGAGCACCCGGAAGTCACCGTCCTCGCGTACGCAGACGACATAACCATGATTGGACCCGCGACGGCGACGCTAGACGTGCTAAGGGAGCTCACGCCGCTACTAGCACAGGATGGCCTCACCTGCAACTTTATGAAATCGTCGGCGTGGTCCTCCATGCCGCTTGGAGGTGTCGTGCTCCCTGAAGGCCTCTCCCACACCCACGAGGGGGTACGGGTGTTGGGAAGTCCTCTGGGGTCGCAGAGCTTCTGCTCTGCCTTTGTCCGCAATACCCTGACAGACGCGGCAGCCCCCTTGAGTTCCCTGGCGTCCATCCACCCACAACATGCCCTCCTGCTACTTTCCCGTTGCATCAGCCGCAGAATCGGCTACCTGCTATGCACTACCCCAGCAGACGTCTTACCCCTCTCGGAATGGCACACATGGTGCTCCGAACTACTGCACACGGCCTTGACCGCCGCCAGCATTCAACCGCCACGCCGAGAAGCCGAGTTCAACTTCCTGCTACGACAAGCAACTCTTCTAGTCGCCCTGGGCGGGCTGGGACTTACAGACCCCACAACAGAAGCAGCACCGGTCTACCTGGCATCAACAACGGAGGCGCTACGACTGCTCCGCTCCCTTGACCTACCAGCAACCGCGGCACTGGGGGCCAACAACAACACCCTGCAGCCGTCCGCAGCGCACTCGGTAACCATCCAAGACATGGAGGGGCGCCTGCCACCGCTGGCGCTACAAAACCTCCGGGAGGAGCAGCAAACCCCGTCCCAAGACCAGCTGCAACGCGCCCTCTCTCAGGAGGTGCACGCGGCAAAGGCCGACGCCTTGACAGAGGAGTCACGCACCATCCAGTCAGCCCCCGAGATGGGTCACTCACTCCGCCTCATCAGCCTGAGAGGGGAGGGAGCGGGAGCATGGCTGCAGGCCCTACCTTTGACCCCGGACCTTTGCTTCTCACTGGGACAATTCCGAGCAGCCCTGGCCTTCCGCGTGGGCATCCGACAGAATGTACCCACTGTGTGCGAGTGTGGAGAACTCGTAGCCGACTGCAGCCTACCCAACCACCTACTCCGCTGCAGCACAGGCCCCGACAGGACACGCACACACAACCAGCTAGCTTTTGCCGTGGCTAAAATGGCAAGGGAAGCACGGCTGGTATTATACTTGGAGAACGCCATGTACTCACCGCCGGATGACCCGAAGAAAGCCGATGTGATTGTACGCGACCCGGACAGTGGAGAGACTTGGATCACAGACACCACTATCACAGACCCCGTGCTGCAGAACCGGGACCCCACAGCCCGCAAACCCCCAGGCTGGGCTGCTAGAGAGGCACAAAGGCGGAAGGAGAGGGAGTACTACCGACACACGGAACACGTGGTGTTCTGCGCCCTAGCCGTCGAGACCTACGGGGCAAACGCGCCCACCACGACTGCGTTCCTGAAGCTGCTGGCCACAGCAGCAGCTAGGAACCGGTTCAGGGCCAACCCCCTGGCGAAATCGGCCAAGAAGATGGCCTGCCACTTCAGCCAGCGCTGGTCAGTGGCCCTCCAGTGCTCCCAGGCCAATGCCCTGCACACCAAGGCCAGGGCTGGGATCGAGGCAGCGCACCCCCAGATGGCAGCGGACCCCTGGCCGCTGCACCTGGGGGACATCCTCCACACGCTGGAGGGCTAGAGGGTCACTTAGGGCGGGGAGTGAAGAGTGGTAAGTTTTGGGGCTTAAGGGATAGAGGTTCTCATGGATAGCACCGCATGTTTGTACCCCTGCTGAATTAATACAAAGGACCGTTTGAGAGAGAGAGAGAGAGTAGGGTGGACGGAAGAACTGGCATACACGTGCACACGAGTAGACGAACACACGCACAGGCACGCATGCACACCCAAAGGCACTCACGCACACACACACACGCACGCGTGCACACACACACACACACACACACACACACACACACACACACACACACACACACACACACAGCCCAGGCGCATCTTTACCCCTCTACCCCAATGCTCCCTTCTTTTCCCCAACTGTCGTCCCCCCCTCTCTTCCCCCATACCCGTACCGTACCCACCATGTCTCGCCTGTCCCTGTCATTGCGGAATGCCCGGAACCACTTGAAGGGGATGCGGTAGCGCGATGAGCCGCCCTGAGCAGGCGAGTGCAGATTGAGAGGTTGGGAGGAGGGGGGGAGGAGGGGGGGAGGAGGGGGGGAGGAGGGAGGGAGGAGGGTAGGGTGAAGGCAGAGGGGGGGGGGCAGGGGGAAGGCGAGGGGAGGAGAAGGCGTGGCATGGAGAGGGGCACAAGAGGAGAGGGATGGGGGGATGAGAGGAGATGAGAGCAGAGGAGAGGAGAGGAGAAAGTGCTTTTGAGATTCCGGAACGAAATGTGGTGGCGTGGCACAAATAGCAACCTTGGTCAGAAAATTAGGATGGAGTGGGGGGAGGAAGTGTAGAAGTGACTTTTAAGTCGCCTAAAAAAATCAGGATGGAGAGGGGTGAGGGAGGTGCAGAAGTGGAAAGTGAGGTGACGGCATGTTTGGTGAGAAGTGTGAAACGGAGGGGGGCGGGGAGGGGGGAGGGGGGAGGGGGGGATAGCGGAGGGGAAAGACTAACGGGAGGGCGCAGGACTGCAAAGCGAGACCAACTCAGAAGGGGAAAGCAAGTTGAGCTAACAAACCGCATCAGCAGCCACTGCCTGCATACATCACCTCAAAACTAGATCAGAAGCGTAATTACCTAGCTCACGCCATGCTACTTTTGAGGTGCCTCAACTACAAATCAGCCGCCTAAGTACCAGACAGACAGACAGCAGCAGTGCTATGCCACAGGAAGACCAGGCGAGGACGGATGGAAAATACATCCCGCTTTCTCAACCCCCCATCACTCCCCATTCACCTGAACCCCAGTTCACAAACAACCACACACACCCACACACCCCTTCTCCCTCCGGGCCCCCACACACCCACACCCAACCACACCCACCCACACCCGCACACTGACCTGGCCGATGAGAGCAGCAAGGCACGCGCCAGTGTGCACGAGAGGGCCTTCCTTGCCCAGCGCCAGCCCACCAGCCACCGACCCCACACTGCCCAGCATCTGCAACAAGGGGACGACAGGCATGGCAGGGGTGGCAGGGGTGGCAGGGGTGGCAGGGATGATACCGCGGGGGCAGCAAAGGGGACAGGGGGAAGGTAAGGAGGAGAATGAGAGGGAGGCCAAGAACATCATTGCTGGATTGAAGTCATACCTTATTATGATTATCATATATGTGTATATATGATAATCAAAATAAGGGTGGGGTGTTGTGCCTACAGAACCCTTCCGAGTTGGGTCGCCACCGTCAGTCGAGTGGCTTGCTTCAATTCAGGTTTCAACAAACCCATCTGGCGGTGTGGCTTTCGGTTCAGGTTGGTTCCATACTCATGTAACAGTCTTACGAAGCTATTTATCCTAAGGCAATGCTTTGGTTCTTCTGAGCAGCAAGCGCCCGCCCATCGCCCAAACTTGCCATGACTTGGCCAACTAGCTTTAGAGAGATTTCGAGAAAAGCCTGGCAAGGCTGATGTGTGTCGATCTGATGTAGATTCAACAAGTAGCACAGATGTAAAACAGTTTAAAGGAAATTTGCTACAGCAAAGTGAGGGGGGCAGGGTGGGGCGTGGGGTGGGAGAGAGATAAGGGGCCAGGCGAGGAGTGACGGGAAGGAGAGGGAGGAAGGGAGAGTGAGAAAGAGGTGCGAAGTGCTGATAGTAAACCTGACATCTGAATGTACAAGAAAACACAGAGCGAGTGGGTGGGTGGGGGAACGGGTGGGTGGGTGGGTGGGGGAACGGGTGGGTGGGTGGGTGGGTGGGGGAACGGGTGGGTTGGGAGGGCAAAGGAGGCAGAGAAGCAGACCTTACCAACCAGCGTGCGCACCAACAGGATGCCCGGCATATCAATGCCTGCACCGTACACCGGGGGGTGGGGGGAGGAGGGGGGACAGGCGGTAAGGGGAGGGAGTAAAAAGGGGGGGGGGGGGGGGGGGACAAAGAGTCAGTTCATGAGGCACCCGCACAGCACGCAACGCTCGTGCGGGGACAGACAGAGGGTTTTGGGAAGGACTAAACGAGGGAGTTGATGGAGTGGACCATGTGACGGGATGGCGACACTGCAGCACAGCAGCACTGCGTCCGTCCACCAGCCTTCCTGCCCAGCCCATCCACCTGCCCACGGCTCGCTCGCCTGCCCATCCTACCCCGATGATGGCCTAACCTATTGGCCTTCCTGTGTGCCACACCTTTAAGAACCTACCGTAGAATCATGCAGAAACGAGGTTGGGATCCCATCCTCCATCCGCAACCCACCTACCGTTCAAGCACCCGTTGTTCCCGTCTTTTGACACGTCTCGGAGGAAGTAAGTACGGACCCCAACCCAACCCCAACCACAACCCGACCTCACTCCCACACCCGCGACCCACCCCACCCACCTACCGTTGAGATACCCCTTGATCTCTGGAATCCCCGAGCCGGCAGCGGCGGGGGCGAAGCGGGTGACGATGAAGGAGGAGGAGAAGACGAGCAGCACGTTGAACGCCAGATACACCATGAAGGCCAGCGCGTGCCAGCGCTGCATCACCCACCACACATAGCCATGCGGGTAGGTAGCTAAACAGCCCACAACCCACATCCGCAGCCAGCCAACACTGATACCCAGTGCCCACCATACGCACACCCGCCCCCACCCCGCAACCACTCCCACCCCCAACCCCACCCCACCTCCACACTGATCCCCACCCACCTACCGTTCAGGTACCCCTTGATCTCTGGAATCCCCGAGCCGGCAGCGGCGGGGGCGAAGCGGGTAACGATGAAGGAGGAGGAGAAGACGAGCAGCACGTTGAACGCCAGATACACCATGAAGGCCAGCGCGTGCGAGCGCTGCATCACCCACCACACATAGCCATGCGGGTAGGTAGCTAAACAGCCCACAACCCACATCCGCAGCCAGCCAACACTGATACCCAGTGCCCACCATACGCATACCCGCCCCCACCCCGCAACCACTCCCACCCCCAACCCCACCCCACCTCCACACTGATCCCCACCCACCTACCGTTCAGGTACCCCTTGATCTCTGGAATCCCCGAGCCGGCAGCGGCGGGGGCGAAGCGGGTAACGATGAAGGAGGAGGAGAAGACGAGCAGCACGTTGAACGCCAGATACACCATGAAGGCCAGCGCGTGCGAGCGCTGCATCACCCACCACACATAGCCATGCGGGTAGGTAGCTAAACAGCCCACAACCCACATCCGCAGCCAGCCAACACTGATACCCAGTGCCCACCATACGCACACCCGCCCCCACCCCGCAACCACTCCCACCCCCAACCCCACCCCACCTCCACACTGATCCCCACCCACCTACCGTTCAGGTACCCCTTGATCTCTGGAATCCCCGAGCCGGCAGCGGCGGGGGCGAAGCGGGTAACGATGAAGGAGGAGGAGAAGACGAGCAGCACGTTGAACGCCAGATACACCATGAAGGCCAGCGCGTGCGAGCGCTGCATCACCCACCACACATAGCCATGCGGGTAGGTAGCTAAACAGCCCACAACCCACATCCGCAGCCAGCCAACACTGATACCCAGTGCCCACCATACGCACACCCGCCCCCACCCCGCAACCACTCCCACCCCCAACCCCACCCCACCTCCACACTGATCCCCACCCACCTACCGTTCAGGTACCCCTTGATCTCTGGAATCCCCGAGCCGGCAGCGGCGGGGGCGAAGCGGGTAACGATGAAGGAGGAGGAGAAGACGAGCAGCACGTTGAACGCCAGATACACCACGAAGGCCAGCGCGTGCGAGCGCTGCATCACCCACCACGTCGCCCCGAACTTCCACCCCGCGAGAATCTCCACTGCCACGTTGATGGAGAAGGCTGCCAGACCCGTTGCTGTGTGCATGGATGAATAGAGCAGAGCAGGGTGGGGCAGGGCAGGGCAGGGCAGGGCAGGGCGGGGCAGGGCAGGGCAGGGCAGGGCGGGGCGGGGCGGGGCAGGGCAGGGCAGGGCAGGGCACGGAAGGGAAGGGAAAGGTTAGGCAAGGCAAGGCATGTCTGATTATTAAGAATTCCCCCAAACTACCGGCCCGCCAGGATCTCCAGAGCCACGTTGATGGAGAAGGCTGCCAGACCCGTGGCTGTGGGGATGGGTTGAGTGGAGAGGGCAGGGCAGAGAGGTCGGCATGGCATGGGATGCGCTTAGGACCAGAGAGTGAGGGGCGGGGGAGTGACAGATGACCGAGGAGGGGACGAGGAACCAGGCAGAGAGCGGCGGACAGGGCGGACAGGGCGGACAGGGCGGACAGGGCGGACAGGGCGGACAGGGCGGACAGGGCGGACAGGGCGGACAGGGCGGACAGGGCGGACAGGGCGGACAGGGCGGACAGGGCGGACAGGGCGGACAGGGCGGACAGGGCGGACAGGGCGGACAGGGCGGACAGGGCGGACAGGGAACAGAGGTTCATGCAGGTGTACGCGGCAGAGAGCGGCAGGGGAGAGCATCGGGGAGCATGACAGACGATGAGAGGGAAGGAACGCTAAGGGGACAGAGCAAAACGAAATTGGGAACGGGAAGGGATGGGGAGTGGGACGGAAGAACATAGGTCAGACGGCCTTACGGTCGGTCGTACAATCGTATGGGTCGTAAGGGTCGTACCTATGCCGAGGCAGAGAGCAAAGACCCACTTGACTATGAGGTACCCCATCTGGTGCAACTTGCCCCTCCTTGCCTGCCACTCATGCCCACGCACACACGCACGCACGCACGAACACACACATGCACAGGATGGGGGGGAGGAAGGGGGGGTGTTTGGTGGGACAGGGTGAGGAGGTCGGGGCAGGGGGTTTGGGGAGGAAGAGGTGTAGCAGGGAAGGGAGGAAGAGAAGGGAGGAGTGGCAAGCACTGAGAGAGACGTTGCCAACATGCGGGCAGGCAGGAGGAGAGAAGGAACGTGCACAGAAGACAACGGAGACGAAAACAGCAGGGAGAAGGAGGGGCGACTTTTGAGGCACCTCAAAAGAGGCGCCTCAAAAGTCATGCGAGCAGGGGGAGAGAAGGAACGTGCACAGAAGACAACGGAGACGAAAACAGCAGGGAGGAGGGGCGACGGGCGAAGAGGGAACAGGGACGTGGAGGGCGTGTAAGTGCGAGTGTGGGACGACTACTCCCCCCGTGGACGGGTGAAGTGGAACAGGAGACTGGAACAGACTGGATGCAACGACCCGCGCGGCACACGCACTCACCATCCCCACTTCCCACATCCTCACCTCCCAACTTCCCACCTCTCCAACTCCCCACCTCCCCATGTCCTCACCTCCTCACCCCCCTCATTTCCAACGTCACAATTGACATTTCGCCCCCCAACTGCTCCTCTCTCGCCACGCGGTGCTCCTCTCTCGCTCGCGGCACTTGCTGTACCGACTGGAATCAGTGACACCCCCACCAGCATAGATTTGGCACCCTCACCTGTTCCTCGCGATACACCGAGTTGTCTATCACATCATAGTCCAAACTCTCCAGCGGATCCCCCTGCGCGCCCTGCGGATACTGCCTCCCCCTCTCCCCCGCCCCCGCCCCCGACCCCTCTCCTCCCCCCTCCCCTCCCCCGCCTTCCTCCTCCTGCGCGCCATCTTCCGCCCGCCCTGATTCTCCGCTCGCCCGCCCTCCTCCCAGCAGCTGCCCCTGCTCCTCGTGCCGCCAGAACAACGTGTCCCAACCCCATGTGCGGAGCACCGACCGCACTGCTCTCCCCGCGCGCCCCCACGGCTGCGGAGCCCGCCACTCCTCACCCTGCCCCGCGGAAGATCCCCGCGCGCCTCTTCCGCCCCGTTCGCCTGCTCCGCCGGCTCCATCCCCGCCCCCGTTTCCCCCCGTTGCGGCGCCCGCGCGTCGCCCTCCCGCGGAAAACAGTTGCCGGCGCACTGGATACCGCTTGGCGCTGCCCTTCTTCCTTCCGCGACTGCCGCTCCCGTCCTCAGGGCTGCGCGGGGGGCGTCCGCCTTCGTTTTGCCTCGAAGTCTCCCCCGCATCCGCGTCTCCGCTTCCGCCTGATCTCCTCTGTCCACCGCTACCACTACCACTTCCGCCACCAACACCGCCGCCGCCGCCGCTATTTCCGCGACGGCTATCGATCCGCTTATTCTCGGTCCGTTTCGGATCACTGCCCCCCACCTCGTCAGGTCTACCATCCCCTTCCGTCGACCGATCCCAATCAGTCCGTTCCGCCGCTTCAGCTTCCGTCTCGCTCTTGAATGCGCCATTCATTCCTGTCTCGTTCGTTACTGTCACTCTCAAGTCTCCCCCGATCTCGCCTGGCGGAAATTGCCCTTCCGCGCGAACAGTTGCGCTCTCTAGGTCCAGCGGGGGAGGATCATCGGAACCGGCGGAGCCTGCGGAGCCGTCGATGGCGGAAACGGCGGAAGCCAGAGACGCGGCCACGCGGAGATGATGCGCGACGATCTCCGCTCTTCGTTCCGCCACACTGGGAGACGCGGATACAGAAGCGGAACCTGCGCCGGCGCCACCCGCAGCACCTATTAAAGGACCAGCACTGGCGGAAGGATTTCCGGTGGCCCCGTAAAACGAAGCAGCTGATCGGTACGGCGACGCGCCTGCGGAATAAGGCGAAAGCGCAGCGCTTCCCCCCCCAGGGCGGGGGAAACTGGGAGTGGCGCGCGGAGTGGTTACATTAGACGACGGAGCAGTTGACGATGTGACGTTTGGGGAAGTGATTGTACCAGGGTTGTTCGTCGCCGAACCTACTGTAGGGTCGTTCGATTGACCGAGCATACTACTGCTACTATCGCTAGCACCTCCCGATCGTGAGGCCGCTCCTGAACTGGCTAAACCGGCTGGGCCTTTCGCGCGATCCATGCAAGCACGTGGTCAGCAAGTGGTCAGCAAGTAAAAACGAAAGGCACAGGAGGGTGATATGCCGGCAAGAAAATCGGTGGTCATTGAAGGGAGAAAGATTAAAAAAAAAAAAAAAAAAAAAAAAAAAAAAAAGGGCCGACAGGGTAGTCAATCTAATGGTTCATGGCGTTATGGACGCGCTGCTCTGGCGTCATGGGAGCGCGTCCGTGCGCGAGAAGACGACTCGGCAGTGGGATATTTGTTATGTTTGAGGTACACATCCTTCCGCGCGAGGCTCTACCTCGTGCTGTGCAGCAGTGGCTGGATCAAAGATCTCCTTTCTGAGTCTGAGTCTTGAACTTGTGACCATCTATTGAGAGGAAAAATCGACTCCTAAATGCTGTAAAAAAGCAAATGTGGAACACAACAAATATCCCAGGGGAGCTGACTGGCTTGCTGTGGTGTGCTGCTGCTGCTGACTCCGCTGATCTGTGAGATGCAGGCTTTCACACACCTCCTCCCCCCAGATTCCCCGAACCGAATGAAGTGGTAAGGGAGGAGTGGTTGGGGGCACGGAAAGGAGGGAAGTCAAGCGGAAGGCGGAGAAAGCATGTAGTAGCAACACGTGGGGCGGGCAAGAAGCAGTTGATTGGAAATTGAGATTTGCTGGGGAAGGAGCGACGGCATTGGCCTGGGCCACGCGGAACACGTGGGGCACCCAAACAGCAGCCTAGTTCACCGCATACAGCCAACTGTGAGGCTCCGTGTGACGAAGACTAACCATTTCTTGTACAGTTTAACAGGCTGCAACTAAAGCGTACATCCTTCAAAGTGATGTCTTCGGTAGTGTTACGAGTGCAATTGAGTGAACGAACGAGAATTGCACTATCGAAGCAAGAATACAATTGAGCGAAGGCATGAGCGAACATTATATAGCGAAACTATAGTGGTAACGGTAATGGTCGCGCGACGAGCCTGGGACTGAGGCTGGGAAAGTGTCGAAGCGTAGGCCCGGAGCGCGGGTTACCAGCCGAGCCGTGAGGTCGGGATGCGATGTGCGAAAAGGGCGGGATGATGAATGATGCGATGGTCGTGAGTGGTAACGGTGCTGGCTGAGGTGCTACAGTGATGTACGCGTTGAGCAGGGACGCGAAGTAAGGAAAAGGGGATTTCCTTACACTACCCCCTCTCCTAAGGAGGTCCTCCTTATGAAAGCGCGTGGATGTCTCGGAAATTGCGGCTACGTAGGTAGTCGGTGACGACGGGGTGATTTTCAACTTTCTCTAGGGGAACCCAATTGTCCTCGGTGGGGGTACGATCTTTCCAGCGGATCAGAAACTCTACTTTGCGGGCTCCTCGAGGGTCGCGAACGCTGTGACTCAGGATCTTGTCGGGGGTGATGACTGGTTCGGTTGGTGGTCGTGTCATGCTGGTGGGTCGATGTCGTGGGAGTTGGCTGGTGGATGGCACGTAAGGGCGAAGTAAGCTAACGTGGAACGAGGGGCTGACGTACCAGTTAGCAGGGAGGAGGAGGTGCGCGGTGACTGGCGTAACCATGTGACTGATTCGAAATGGCCCACAGTATCGAGGGCGGAGTTTTGGAGTGATGGGCAGGCGGAGGTTCTGAGTGTCGAGTAAAACGAGGTCGTCGGGCTGATAAGTAATGGGTCTGCGATGGCGATCGGCGTTGCGTTTAGCGATGATGTTTGATTTTTTGATTGCTTCTGCTGCCCTGGTCCGTGCTGCTTGCAGAATCTCAGCGAACTGTTGTGCTCGTGGGACGGGGTTGTCGGGATTCGGTGTCATGGGTACTGTTGGGTCCTGTCCGTAATTCAAGTAAAACGGCGACTGTTGCGTCGTGGCTGATGGTGCGTTATTGTATGCGAACTCGATGAGTGGCAGCTGCTCTTCCCACGTATTCGGATCGTCGCACGTGGCTCGAATCAGCTGCTCCATGGTCTGATTTGTCCGTTCCGTCTGTCCGTCGGTTTCGGGGTGATAGGATGAACTGAACTGTAAGCGCGTGCCGAACTGCTGCCACAGGTTCCGCCAGAAGTTGCTTGTAAATTTCGTGTCCCTGTCGCTGATGATCGATGCGGGTATCCCGTGCAGCCGAACGACGTTGGTGATGAAGAGTCGGGCGGTTTCCTCGGCTGTGATTGATTTCCTACATGCTGCGAAATGAGCCATCTTCGTTAGTCGATCGACGACGACCAGGATCGCGTCATTCCCACTCGCCCCAGCTGGTAACCCCTGAGAAAATATGAACGAGAATGAAATGACTATGAACGAAGTGGGTACAAATAGGAAACCCTAATTGGGTTGTACCCCCTATGGGATACCCCACTATAGCCTACAGAAACAAGTAAGCTATATATTCTGACACACCCCCATAGGCAAAGTGGGGGAGAACAAGGGGTCACAAGACCAGTCAAGCAAAGCAAAGCAAAGCTCAGGGTGGATCACAAAGTCACCACACATTCCGAGCACAAGTTCAAAGGCCAGAAGGCCAGTTCACATGCAAGGTCATATATAGAGATATACAAGAGTCAACTAAGCAAGAGCAAGAGTATATATAGGCGAAGGTACAAGCAAGGTCAAGAGGAGAGCAAGTGAGGCAAGACAGGCACAAGACCCAACTGCGTGCAACAACGCTGATGATCACAAGGCGCAAGTGCCTTGGTGAAGACATCAGCAGTGTTGGCCTCAGAGGCCACGTACGCAAGTCGCAACTGTCCACGCTGCTGTAGCTCACGAGCAAGAAAGTAGCGGAGAGCAATGTGCTTCGTTCTGTGCTCCAGTCGCTGCTCTCGACACAAGGCCAGCATGGCCTTGTTGTCTACGTACAGGACTGGAGGAGAACGAGGCTGCTCTCCAAGGTCGGTCAGCAGGTAGGTGAGCCAGCGTAACTCCTGTGCAGCCATGGCCCCAGCGTAGATCTCAGCCTCACAACTGGAGCCGAGAACAGAAGACGAGCGGGTAGCCCGCCACGAAACAGAGCCGGAACCAAGGCTGAAGGTGTAACCCTGTGACGACCGCTGCGTAGCCTGGTCGTCAGCCCAAGAAGCGTCTGCGTGCCCAGTGAGGACCACTGGACTGCGCCCTCCAAGCACTAGCCCCATGCCCGACGTACTGCACAAGTAGCGCAACACCCTCTTCGCTGCAGCCATGTGCTCTGGTCGGTGTCTCCCAGGAGCAACATAGCGTGCGAGAATGCTAAGAGGGTATGCAAGGTCAGGTCGTGTGCAGGTCATCAGGTACATGAGGCAGCCAACAAGCTCTGCAAACGGGCCACTCGACTCTACGGACTCATCCGAAGGCAGAGCTGAGAGCGAGTGGCGAGTAGGCAGAGGAGTGGCCTGAGGCGAGGAGTACGTGAAGCCGAAGCGCTGAAGGACCTGCTGCACCATGTGTGACTGAGTCAGGGTAATGGTGCGGCGTGCTCTGTCCCGGGTGATCTGCAAGCCAAGGTAGCTACGCAGTTCACCCAGGTCAGTGCACGTGTGTCTCTTCTGCAGCTCGGACTTCACGTGGGCGAGTCCAGCAGTGTCAGCTGTGGCAAAGACCAAGTCGTCGACGTACACGAGGATGTAGAACGGCGGCAGCGAGGTGTCGGTGCGCAGAAACAGCGACGGGTCGGCAGTAGAAGGAGCAAACCCAAGTGCCGTGAGCGTAGTCCTCAGTGTGTCGTGCCACTCACGTGGCGCCTGGCGGAGACCGTAGACTGGACGCCGGAGACTCCACTGGGTACCAGGAGGGAAAGACCCAGTGAAGCCAGGTGGGCGGCGCAGCCAGATCTCCTCGTGCAGGCTGCCCTGCAAGAAAGCGGTGCTGAAGTCAAGAGAGTGGAGCTCGTAGTCACGGTGAGCAGCAACGTGCAGTAGAACCCGAAGAGTGGTCATCTTCGGGGTGGGGGAGAAGGTCTGAAAGTAGTCAACCCCTTGCCGCTGACTGAAGCCACGAGCCACGTAACGCGCCTTGAAGACAGACGGAGAACCCGGCGGCCGCTTCACCCTGAAAATACACATGCCACTGACTATGTTCGCCCCAGGAGGGGGAACAGCGTCAACGTAGGTGCCTGTGGACTTCCAGGAAGCCATCTCTGCATCCATAGCTGCCTGCCACTGAGAGGAGTAGGGACCCTCTATCGCCTCCGCGTAAGAGCGCGGAGTCGGGATGTCTGGTGCATCCGGGTCTCCCTCAGGGGCTAGCAGTACAGACGCGAGATGAGGTGAAGTGGCAGCCAGACACTGGAACTCCTCCTGCCTGTCCTCAAGGACGTCCGTGCCAAGGGCACACTCACCCCCGACGGACGGAGGACAGGTAGACTCGGACTCAGCGACAAGACTGGCAGCGTAGTCTAGACGACAGCGCGCAGCAAAGTCGACAAGCTCAGTGACAAGGGCAGACGCAGCAGACGACTCGAAGGAAGGGTCAGTGACAGCAGTAGCAAGGAGACGCGTGACAGTAGGACTGGCAGCACGAAGAGAGTCCGACTCCGGGTCGGCAAGGGCAGGAAGAGAGGATGCAGGAGGAGAAGGCAAAGGGGCACGCAGAGGAGCAGTGGACGGACGCAGTGACATCCGGTGCGTGCCAGGGACAGGAGGAGGACGCGGACGCGACCCGCGACCACTAGTGCGCGCAGTACGAACATGCGACGCAGGACGAGACGCAGGCTCACGACGCTCAGTAAGACCTCCAGTCGGACCAGCGTAGGGAGAAGGAGCAGGCAAAGGGGAGGCAGGCTGTAGTGGTGGCTGTGACTGGACAGGCGGCGGGCCCTCTAAGGGAGGAGGAGGAAGACTAGGAGAAGGTGTAAGACCAAGAACCTGCTGCAGGAGCGGAACGAAGTACGGTCGGGGCCGCGCGGCGACGCTAGAAACAGCAGGGACAGGACTAGTACCCCCAGCAGGAGTACCCGCTCCAGCAGCACCCCC